TGATGTAAGCAGACCATCTGATATGACCCTCAATGAATGACATGCTGTACTATTTCAAAATACACATGTATATTGAATTAATGGTTCGAGTGTAAAATTTTAGAGATCTAATTTGTCTACTCTCTCTTTGTTTTGTGTGTAGAATAATGTAAAACGGAGGCACTTCTTTATATTGCAAGAAATACAACTTTAAATTACACAAGTAAACTAAATAACTTTTCTTATGCATCTTCGACAGGCTGCAAAAGTATGGTGGCTTCTCTACTTGATGTTTACCTGCTTCATGGAAAGAGTGTTCTTCCAAGTCCACTAATGTCCATGTGCTAGTTGCAAGAGCGTCTGAAAGATGAGCAAAGGTGGTGAATGATGAAGAAAGGTGATGGAAAGATATATTAAGGCGAGAACATAAGATGATATATATTTTTTTATTTTTTCTTCATAATTTTTTATGAAACAATTTTGATAACATGGAATGAACCCGCGCTCAATTGTGCTGCAGCTTTAATTAATTTTCTGTAGCTGAATGTTCCCGATGCAAAATGATTTTTGATCTTTGGAAAAAGCCGTTGCTGCTATGCAAAAATATGATATGAGCGTCTAAAAAAATGAAGAGATGTGAAATTCAATTTTCTTTTTGTATAAAAATTTTTTGGCAGAATTCCTGTCGGGCATGGCAGAACGGGCTTGAACTCGCAGATGAGTGTATTAAAGCCGAACGGATTTCTTCAGAGCCAATCATTTCCGACCTCTACATCACGTTTTTATTTGTGAATATTAGAAAAAGAAAATGTTGGTACAATAAAACGTTTCATGGATTTTGAACCCGCAAGCAATGCACCGAAGGCAGTGCGTCATACCACTCCACTACCTGATCCAGCGATACGTTCGTAAAGTGTAAGGCAATTATTATTAAATCTAATTAATAAACAGCAAAATTAATAAACATCTTTCTTTTGCAGTGGAGATGATCTTGTTTCATGGTGGAAAAATGTTTATACATTGTTGAAAAGAAAGAGCTGACAGTTAGAAGGTTGGTTGAAGAATCACTTAAGTCTTCGTAAATTTTTTAGCAAAGAGATTTGTACCAGAAGTCAAGCGCCCTGCAGCCGATAGTATTTCTCTTGAGCTAAATGTTCAAGATACTAAGAAATTTTGGAACTTCTATTTAACACTTTTTTTCGTGCATTTTTAATAAATAACGTCTACTGCTGCATAAAATTACTAGAATGGTCTTGAACCATGAGACAGGCGCAATGAAGGTACACGCGTTACGCAGGGACTAAACCTTTCTAATACCATGATAAGTTGGAATTTCTATTTAAACTTTTCATTTGGGCATTTTAATAAAAAGTTTTTGCTGCAACACGAAAGTACCATATAGTTATTGAACCCTAACATCATGCAATGACACCGACCTTTCATTGCTCTAGACTAGCTGATCAAGGGTGTGACCAGCTTCAAAATAAAGGAGGGAGTTAGGGTTAATTTCTGCATAAAGGTAGACATAAAGGGAGACCTAAAGGTAGACATAAACGTAGACATAAAGGTAGACATGAAGGTAGACACAAAGGTAGACATAAAAGTAGACATAAAGGTAGACATAAAGGTAGACATAAAGGTAAACATAAAGGTAGACACAAAGGTAGAAATAAAAGTGACATAAAGGTGAACATAAGGTAGACATAAAGGGAGACATAAAGGTGGACATAAGACATAAAGGTAGACATACAAAGGTAGACATAAAGGAGACCTAAAGGTAGACATAAAGTAGACATAAAGGTAGACATAAAGGCAGACACAAAGGTGAACATAAATGTGGACATATGACATAAATGCTACATAGACTAAAAGGTGAGACATAAAGGGACATAAAGGTAGACATAAAGGGTGGAACATAAAAGGTAACATAAAAGGAGTAGACACAAAAAGTGAACATAAATGTGGACATAAATGTGGTAAAGACATAAACAATGAGACACAAATGTGAACATAAAGGTGAACATAAAGTGAACATAAAAGTAGACATAAAGGTGAACATAAAAGGTGAACATAGCAAGGAGACATGTAGGTGAACATAAAAGATGAACATAAAGGTGAACATAAAGGACACATAAAGGTGGAACATAAAGATGAACATAAAGGTGAACATAAAGGTGAACATAAAAGTGAGACATAAAAGGTGAACATAAAGGTGGAACAAAGTGAGACATAAAGGTGAACATAAGGATGACATAAAATTAGACATAAAGGTGGTGGAACATAAAAGTAGATATGAACATAGACAAAGATGCAAGGTGGACATAAAGGTGAACATAAAAGATGAGACATAAAGGTAGACATAAAGGTGAACATATAAGGAGTATGACATAAGATAGACATAAAAGAGTGAACTATAAAGGTGAACATAAAGAATGAGACATAAAGGTGAACATAAAGATGGACATATGAACATAAGGTGAACAAAATGTAGACATAAAGTGAACATAAGAGAACAACATAACAACATAAAGATGAATAAAATTGAACATAAGGTGGACATAAAGTGAACATAAAGATGAAAAGGTGAACATAAAGGTGAACATAAAGGTGGAACATAAAAGGTATAAAGGTGAACATAAAGACATAAAGATGAACATAAAGGATGAATAAAAATAGACATAAAGTGAACAAAAACATAAAGGTGAACATAAGGAGAACATAAAGGTGAACATAAAAGGTATGAACAAAGTGTAAAGTGAACATAAAGGTAGACAAAAAGTGAACATAAAGGTGAACATAAACATGAACATAAAGGATAAAGGACAAGAATTAAAGTGAACATAAAGGTGACATAAAGGATGGAACATAAAGAAAGACAGAACATAAAATAGACATAAAATAGACATAAGGTGAACATAAAGGTGAACAAAAATGATAAAGGAGACAGAAAGATGACATAAAAGGTGAACATAAAGGTGAACAAAAGGAGACATAAGAGACATAAAGGTGAACATAAAGGTGGACATAAAGGTAGACATAAAGGTGAACCAGACATAAGGTGAACATAACATAGAGACAGACATGAATTCAGGTGAACATAAAGATACAGGTAAGAGTGAACATACAAGGTGAACATATGAACATAAAGGTGACATAAAAAAGACATAAGCATGAACATAAACATGTGAACATAAAGGTGAACATAAAGATGAGACATAAAAGGACATAAAGTGAACATGAACAAAAGGTAGACATAAAGGTGAACGTGAACATAAAGGTCATATAAATGGACAAATGAACATAAGGTGACATAAAGGACATTTGAACAGGTGAACATAAAGGTAGATAAAGGTGAACATAAAGGTGGTGACATAAAGAACATAAAAGACAATGGACATAAGATAAGGTGAACATAAACCTCGTGGACATAAATGAACATCATAGACATAAAGGTGAAATAAAGATCATACAGGATGATAAAAGGTATATAAAAGATAAAGATGACATAAAGGTGGACATAAGAACATAAAATGAACATAAAGGTGAACATAAACATAGACATGTCAAAAAGACATAAAAGTGTATAAATCAAGTGGTGACTCATGAGACATAAAGGTGAATATAAATGGAACATATTAAACAAAGTGAACATAAAGTGGAATAATTACATAGGAATGAGCATAAAATCTCACAAAGATTAAAAGACATAAAGTGAACTAAAAGGTGTTGATGAACATCAGGTGAACATAAAGGTAGATCATCAGACATATAAGTAGACTCAAGATGGACTAAAAATAAAGAGATAGACATAAAGGTGTGAACATAAAGGTGAACATAAAGATGTAGACATGTCGACATAAAGACATAAAGTGAACATAAAAATAGACATAAAGGATAGAACATAAAGTGAACATAAAGAACATAAAGGTGGACAAAGGTGAACAAAGGGTGAACATAAAAATTGAACACATGATAGACATAAAGGTGAACATAAAGGTGAACATAAAGGTGGTGAACATAAAAGGTGAACATAAAGGTGAACATAAAGGTGGAAGGAATAAAGGTAGACATAAGGTGAACCTAAAGGGTGAACAAAAGTGAACATAAAGGAAGACATAAAGGTGAACATAAAGGTGAACATAAGGTGAACAGACATAAAGGTGAACAAAGAGTAGACATAAAGGTGGAACAAGGTGAACATAAAGGTGAACATAAAAGGTGAACATAAAGGTGAACATAAAGGTGAACATAAAGGTGAACATAAAGGTAGACATAAAGGTGAACATGAAAAGATGAACATAAGGATGGAATATAGGTGAACATAAGGTAAAGGTGAACATAAAGGTGACATAAAGGTGAACATAAAGATAGAACATATGAACATAAAGATGATAAAGAGTGAACATAAAGATGAACATAAGGTAGACATAAAGGTGAACAGTAAGGTAGAACATAAGATAGACATAAATGAACATAAAGTGAACATAAAGGTAGAAATTAGACATAAAGGTGAATAAAGAGGTACATAAAAGGTGAACATAAAGGTAGACATAAAAGTAGAACATAAAGATGGTCAAAGGTTACATAAGTGAGACATAAAGGTGAACATAAAAGTGAACATAAAATGACATAAAAGGTGACATAAAAGTGAGACATAAAGGTCAGACATAAAAGTAGACATAAAACGTTGACATAAAGGTAGACAATAAAGACATAAAGGTGACATAAAGGTAGACAAGGTGACATAAAGGTAGACATAAAGGTGACATAAAGGTAAAGATGAACATAAATGTATAAGATAAACATAGACATAACATAGACATAAAGGTGAACATAAAGGTGAACATAAAAGGACGTAAGACATAAACGTATGGACAAGACGTAGACATAACATAACGATAGACAAAAATGTTCGACGAAATTGTGCATTATGTTAATATGTTTTAAACCAATTTTCGGTTCAAAATTTTGGAAAGTATATACAAATAATTGATAGAAACAAAAAACAACAACAAAAATAGTAAGACTTTTAAAGTAATTAGAAAATTTATCTTCATGTACATTTCTATTTCATCGCTCCATATTTACATCAAACTAAAAAGCGAAAACTTCCATTAAAAATATATCGTTATCTGTCAATGACACGAAGTAACCAAACTAACTGTGTTTTAGAATGCATTAAAAGTTCATGTGAAGGTCTGTTCGACTTTTCAAGTTCGTAATAATTTAACAATTTTGTCGTATTTACAATGCTTACAAACAATATTTCTATTATTACATGTATTTACAATTATATTATCAAACATTTAATAAAGTTAATAAATACGATTGAAAACGAAGATGACGTAACCATAATAACGCTATGACGTAATAGTGGAGAACTTAAGTGCAGCGCGATTGGGAGATGAAAAAGGACTGGGAATAGCCAAATCGAGAATGAGGGTCAAAGAATAATGAAGAGCCTGAAATTTAAAAAAAATCCTGTAGGTAGGGTAATTTTCTAAATTTGACAAATATCAAAACAAGGAAATATTTTAACTAGGTGGTTTTATGTAAAATGAAGTATATTAAAGTCACCTGTTCATATCGCAGCTTCAGTTCTTCGACTTTTTGTTGTTGCAAGCGGAAGTCAAATATTGAACCAGATGATTTGAGTTTAGTCACTTGAGTCGAGAGGTCACTGAGAAAGCCGTATTTCATGTTGATATCACGTTGAAGAGTCTGTAGATAAAAAAGCACTCTATTTAACAACGTAACGATGTATACAATAAATCAATAGCAACAAATTGTAGAATTGTAGACAGTAGCAAAGCCAGAGCGCAAGTTTTAGTTCTATGTAAATTTCAGATCATTCACATTATTCATTTCTTTCGAAATCTATTGTTTTTACAATTAGTGGATTGAGAAAAATTAACAGAGCGGGAAAAATTAATAAAGCTTTAAGATAACTTAACTTACCCTATAAGAGGTTATTTCTCGAGTAATTACTGATAATGATATCATAATGATATTGATTGTAAATAACTTCATCGATAAAATAGCTTATTCCTTCTTTTTGTAAAGTTGCAAATTAAGGAATTCAGTTTTTGATTGCAAAACCATAATCTTTAATACAATACAAAAAAACACGTACTGTAAAGTTTACACTTACTTTAAGCTTTTGTAAATGTTCTTCTTCGCTGTTCTTCTCTTCATCCAGACGTATAAGGCGAACTTCCATTTCAGTCAGCCAGGCATTCACGTGCCGACGCATTTCCTCGAACTCCACGAAGTTTTTGGAAAGAAGTCGAAACTTGTCAGTGGAAGCATCCAATTCACGACTTATATCGTTCCAGTGCTTTTGGCAATTCCCGATCATTTTACGTATGGGCTGTGCTGAATTAGACTTGGTTGCATTGGCGAGGTAGTTGCCTCTAGTCAACAGACGTTCCAAAAGAACACCCTTTGCTCCCACTTGACGCTTAAGATCCTGTGCATAGAATAGATAAGATGTTTACATATCATCAAAGAATTCCACCTTGTACACATTTAATTTAGTTCCCTTCTCTATGAACAATGTCGATAAAAAATGGGGGTTTTTTCTGAGTAAAGTCTTTTTAAAACATAATTTAGCTATCTCTCGTGGTTTCTCCTACCTGCAATCTTGACATTTCGCAATTCACCTCGCGTAAATCATCACAGCTTCCTCCGGGAAGCGAAACTTGGCTTCGAAACGCCCTTTGCCAAGTCATAAACTGTTTGTAATCTTCCCTGAACTCGTTGCACAGTGCAATACGGTCACGACTTTGTTTCAACAACGTTCCTACATCTCTTGTAATCTTTTGCCAACGCAATTCGAAATTATTTCGAGCTGTTTCGATGTCGTTCGAGTCGTTCTCGTGAGGAAAATTGCAACTCTGCAATCGCTAGAATAACAACAAAATTTAGGTGATCTTAATCTTGAAAGTTGAATAAAAAAACAAAAAGACTGTCGTGAGTCTAAAATTAGAGACATTCGGAATTTGTCTATTTACACTCCATAATATGAAGAGAAGAACATGATTTAAAATATTGATGAAGCGAAGAGCATGACTAGATGAAACCATTATTACAAATGAAACATTTAATGTGTACATACAACGCATAAACTTAGCACAGATATGACGTCGGGTGATCGTGTCTTGATTTCTGTTTGACTTATCTAAAAGTAAAAAGCCATTTAAAATAAGAAGAAAATATTCCTCAATCTTGGTGTATATGTACATCACACTCGCTATTTCTTCCACGACAAAAACAATTTAAAACTTAACTTGCCAGATTCGCCAGTACATGAGCATTCGCGGTGTCTCGAAGACGCATGGAATCGACAAATGAAACCTCTAACTTTCCCTTTTTTAATCTATTGTGCTTGCTTTGAAACTCTTAGAACTTGGGTTGATTTAAGTTTAAAGGGTGTTGCAAGACACCATGCAACTGTGGCGGATCTAGTGAACGTCTAAATAACGTTCACTAGATCCGCCACAGTTGCATGGTTTATTTATAATTCCAAATACCTCAGAGGCAACTTCATTGGTAAAATTTTATTCTTTAGAAATTCGCGACAAATAGTTTTGTTCTAAAGATGTTTCGAATATAAAAAATTCAACACCTATAATTTATTTCGACAAACGCTGGATCCGCTACAACCTGCCTATATGATGTATTTACGGCCATTCTTGTACCTGTAGATTAACTAATTGCTGGCTCAACTCATCTACATCACATGACAGCTTTCCACTGATCTCAATAACTTGTTGCTCAACACTGGACATCCACTTGTTTAACTGCGTAAGCTGGGCTTCTAAAAGCTTCAGTGAATACTTTGTCTGTTCGGCCTTCTTGTACGAAATACCCAATTGGATACACAGATTTTCCCAGCGTTCATTGAGGGCATCGCGTCGCTCCGTGACGTAACGTAATAACTCGCTATTGATCTCCTTGTCAAACAATGACAAAGTTGAATCGTTAATGATTGATCTCTCGAATTCGTGACTTTCAATTTCCTTACGATATGCCTGAAATATAAAGTAAGAAATTTACAGGATGACTGTGAAGGAGATCATACATGCTCCACATGATCCAATGCAATCCCCTCTCCTTCGTTCCCATTAATACCCTACCTTAATTTTTACTCTCTGCTCTTCAGGACTACAGGAATAGAAGTTTATTGAGTCTACATGAACGATGTTTTCAAAACGGCGCAACCACGCTGACACGCTCTCAAAGTTCTCCATAAATTTTCTCAAAAAGTGCAGCAAATCGACGGTGCAATGTATCTTGGTTGATAAACAGGTACACACGTTAGTCCACAGAGAACCCATTACAGAAACCTGATTGTTAATGTGGTCAGCGTTTGCGTATGAGGACATGCGCGATAACCGCTTTCCTCTTTGTGTGAGCAATTCCAAATGGGGACGTCGATCTTCGATGTCATTGCTTAACTCCTATAAACAGACAGGAGATTATTTTATTGTTATGGAGAAAAGTCATTGTTGTCGTTGGTCTCAGGCTATTCATTGTCTATGGATACGCTATTGTAACTTGCTACTGGCTGTTTACTGTTTATATTTTATAATAAAGTAAATGGTTTGAACCCGGGAGTATCGTTACATGTTTGTAAATGATGATCTTCCAGGTTAATAAAGTCCTGAGACGGACCGTTTTTGTTTTTGTTGACTGACGTTTCGACAACCTTAGCGGTAGTCATCATTTGACTCTGAAGATGACTACCGCTAAGGTTGTCGAAACGTCAGTCAACAACAACAAAAACAGTCCTTCTCAGCACTTTATTAACCTGGACGATCATCATTTACAAACATATATTTTATTATGTTCATTCATTTAACCCTTTAGTGTCCAAGGTTGCTATTTGGATACTATCACGAAATCAAATGAAACTGAATTGTAAAAAACTTTACAGTTGAAGTGAATTGTATCTATTAAATCTATCTATCCATTAAAGGGTGAAGTGAATTGTAATAACAATAGAAAGTCTTCTCTACCTTAAACATACTCACAAATTTAAAAATAAAAAACGTTGAACAAGAAAGAAAACTACTCGAGGCTGGTATGTATGCTTTAAGACATCCGTTAAAATGACAGCAATATGAAAAACCAAGTACCTTTAGCCTTTCATAGTACTTCTCTAAATCAGACAGGCTCGAAGCGCTCGCTGTTTTCAAGTAAAGTTCAGTCCTTCTCAACCATTTCATTATGTCTTCCATCACAGTAGTGTACTCTTGCCAGTCCTCGAGGGTAAGCTCAAGTGTTCGTTGATTTGATGCGATTGAGTCGGAGACGCGAAGCCAACGCGTTTGAACCTCGTGAAATTCTCTTTCAATGGCGTCAGATATTTTATCGTTGGACCGTATCAAGCACTGTTCTGCCAGGGAGCGTAGACGTTCGAATTGACTTTGCCTTGAAGAAATCTCGCTGCAACAAGCCTGTAAAGCGGGAATGTCAAAAGAAAAGATTAGGAAGGTAAAAAGACAAAGACGGGAAGAAATACACAAAATGAAGGGTATATTTCCAGCAATACAGAGAACTCAACTCAACTCTTTGACTGATTAGCTTTTCGAGTTTCATCTTGATAAGGAAAATAGTCAGACAACGTATGCCTTAAGATAATCAGGCGTTTGATATAGCGAAAATTTCCCATATTGTATAGAATCAAATACCCAGGCATTGCAATATCAAACAGACATTAGACAGAGGAAAATAATATAACATTAAAAGCAATAAAATCATCTTAACTTGGACATACTTAAATGCCTTATGCATTTCCTGTATTTCACATACCTCAACATACTCTACATGGGTTTCCAGTTCATTTATGTCTGAAGATACGACAGATTCCAAACCAGGTCGAGTTTCAAACTCGCTCAGCCAAGTGATGAACTCCTTATGCTTCCGTTTGAAATCGCGCCACTTCATAAGACGACTGTCCAATATTTGTTTGTGTTTTTCAACAGCAGAACACGTGGTCTTCCAGCGCTCTCGTAACTCGCTCAATTTCCCCTCAACTTCGTGGCGAGTGTTCTCATCAACCAGAGAACTTACGTCAAGCGTCTCTGCAAGTTCTTCCGCACAGAGTAGCTCAGCGTTGTGTTGATCAATGTTACTCTGAAAGAGCTGTGAAAAAGATAAATTCTTATTCACGGTTGTAAAAATTGAAGTCATTCTAAAATGAATAGAACAAGATGGCAAGAAAAGATATTGATGCTACAAACACCGTTGAAAAAAGCACAGTTTCCTATCAACTTTAGTTAACGGATATTTTTAAGTTTTATCAAAGGAATATCCAGGAAACATATTCATTGCTATAAGCGAAATTCGAGTCCTATTACGTTCTTTTTTTTGTACTTTACCAACGGAGTTTTTATTTACGTAGTTTTAGTTTCAAATTTCTTAAGCACTTAAAATAAACGAGGAAAAGAAGATTAATGCGTTCTGCGATTTTGAAAATTCAACATTGTAAAGAACTTTACTTCATTCTCATACTGAAGATGACTTAATGGAAGTCGAAACATGTTTATGATAAAAAATTTTGTCGTTTATTTTAAATGCCTAACAAATCTCGCGCTTTTGAGATCATATGGAAATTTCAAATTTCTATTAGTCAAAACCCCGGATCCCCAATAAACCATCAAGTGATACATAATTTACCTCGAAAGGTTGTTCGTCCTCGTGAAAACTGTTCATGTCATTGGCCAGTTTCACTTCGGTATCAAGCAGAACTGCGTTTAAATGTCGACATTGTTCCTGGAATTTCGCTAGTAACTTTTGCACGTTCTCCGTTTCGCTTTTCTTAGAATTCAACTCTGTCGAAAGCGCTTCTAATCGCTTTCCCAGCTCTTTCACATCCGCACTGGCACCAGTTGACCACTCGGACTTTTCGTCAAGGAAGTTTTCTTTGGTGAACTGGTCAAGTTCTTCCAGTTCGTGTTGTGTATGGTCAACTTCACGAATAAGCTTCTAAATATATGATGGAAACGTTTATGCAGCCATGGAAGCAGTGGAATGTTTTTAAACAATTCTTACAATTAAGAAGATACAGGAGAGTCCATTTGAGTACCTGTAATGTTCTATAATGTTCCATAGTTTCTACTGAACAACTTGCGTAGGATTGTTTTTCAACTTCTGCAACTTGTTGTTGGACGGTTTGAAGTTTATTGCAGAAATCCAACCAGGATTTCGTTTTATGTATTAAGCTGAAAAAAGGGAAGGACTTTCACACACTTCACACGAACAAAAGAAGAACGTTTTTGTCAAAATGTGCACGGTTTAACGCTAAAATCTTCACCTTTGTTGCTGTTTATCTAGTTTCTGGGAAAAGTCTTTAAAACACTCTTCGATTTGCTCCAGTTTTGGTGAAACAAAGTTGGCGCCGTTCATCATTTCCGACTTGAGTTCCTGCCCACGAAACCTGAGATTTTCGAAAATGTCTTTTTGGTTCTTCAAGCTCTCTTGCAGCCGCTGAAAGTACAAGAAATTAAAACGATCAACTTCGTGTGTAAGAGCAATGTACTTCAACTAAGACATATTACACTAATAACTGCAAAAAGAATGCCACATCTTAATTACAATTGTAACAATAGAATCAGGACTCTAATACTTGAATTATTAGGGTAATAATTAAATTAGATTGCAACATTCGAGTTATGATTGCAACATTCGAGTTATGATTGCAACATTCGAGTTATGATTGCAACATTTGAGTTATAATTGCAACATTTGAGTTATGATTGCAACAATAAAATTACAATTGTAACATTGAAATTATGATTGCAACATTTTAATTATGATTGCAAAGTATGCATCATGATCCAGTCCACGCCCTACCTCAAATTCTTTTAACTTAGTGAGCTCATTCGCCAACAACTGCGGGGCTTCGTCTTCAGCATCCAATGTTTCCCATTGATATTTCAGCCAAGCAAACAACTCGTCACAGTCCTTATCAAAATTCTGACATACGTTTACAACTCGTTCAACGTCGAGTTTCTTCTCCTTAACTTGCATCGCGACACGATGAAATCGCTGGGTAAGTTCACTCGTGTCCACCTCGAGTTCATGCACAAATCTCTCGTCACAAACATTGTTCAACTCGATCATGAGACTAGTGAGATTGTCGACCGCCAATTTTATTTCATTCATTTCTTTCTCAAGATTCTGAAAAAACGACAAACTTTAGTCGACTGATTGAAAACAAATAAATTTAGTAAAAATCCATCAGGCAAGGCGAAGTTCATTCCAAGTTTTTAAAACACTTAAGCCAAGGCTGATCTTTTTATAAACATAATCTATAATACGACTTAGAATGAAGAGTCCAGCCCAACCTTTCACTCTTGCAATACAAATATTTCAGATTATTTGTTTCTTTAGAAAATCGATACCTTTCGTTTTTTCCCCAGGAATGCAAAAAACCTGCTTGTTTGGAGTAGAAAACGGCCAGGCTTCCTTATTAATGACATACTTACATCAAGACTAGACTTCTGTGAGTTCAAACCTTCTAGATCAACATCAAAGGACGAAAAGTTATGCAGCACGATTTCGGCTTGGTCGAGAAATGCCATGATGGAGCCAACAGATTCCTGACACGATTTATGTTTCGTTGTCAGCTCACCAAGCCAAACCTCGCAATCATTTACTTTGGTGTGAATATCCTCCCATCGTTCTTCGATATCCCCAAGTATCCCTTCGATTTCCTCGGAGTCGTATAAACCAGTTGTCAGAAGGCTTCGGGCCGAGTCCACAAATGACGTCACCACAATTTTTTGCGTTGCTAGAAAACCTTTCATAGCCTGTCAAAAAAAATAGAATACCATTAAAGACGCCAAAGTCGCCTCTTTCTGCGACATGAAATCCCCCCATCACCTGCAAATCCCAATTTATACCTTGACATCCTCCAGAGCAATATTACGATCTTTCTCACTAGAAATGTGTTTATATTTCGACATGACAGCTTCCCTTGTAGCAAACCAAGAATCGGTATCAATCAGATGAGTCAGCTGACTTTGGAAATCAATCCAGTTACTTAGCGAGATCTTTAGCGACTCTTCTTTCTCGTTGATCGACGAAGTGACTTGTCTCCAGGCTTCATCAAGTTGCGCTACCGATTTTCTTAAAGTGGCGCTCTCGTCATCTTTGAATTGATCGCCGCGGATTTTCCGTTTTACATCATTGAGTTTTTCCTCTTTCGATCGTAATTCTTTCCTCGTTGTCTTTTAAAACATTCATGAATTGCTCAATAAAACAACAGACAAAAAATCTAAATATTGATATACTAACCTGATATTTGCTCACAAGTAATTTAATCTGATCCAATGTTGAGCTGCCGACAAGTGGAATGAGCGCTAGTGTCAAGTCCTTCGCAGATTCCACACAATCGTTTAATTCGCGAACGCACTCGATCACACCGGACTTTTCAAGATCACACTCCAGTGCAACGAGTTCGTCAAATCGATCAGAGACCAAGGTTTGTAGATCCTCCCAAAGTCCGTTTATATCAGTTTGTTTCTCCTGAAGATGTTGTACGTCCCCGTGAATGTTATCGATAAGATAATGAAAGGCGATGTCCAAGGATTCTTTCAATACCAAATGATCATTGATTTGATCATGATGTTTCTGAATGGTTGAAAAAAAACTCAATATAAATAAGAGCAGAGGCGTAACTTGAACGTTAATTGGGGTGGTGGGTGCATATTCATATATTCCGTTGTGCCCAACTTATTTCTTTTGAAAGTGAATTGAATTTCAAAAGAAATAAGTAGGGCACAAAAGAATCTATGAATATACACCCCACCCCCCAATTAACGTTCTAGTTACGCCTCTGAATAAGAGTACAGTCCTGTGCAAAAGTTTATGTCTTCCCTTCAAACGATCGCAACCTATTGATGATGAAAGTGTTTTGCTTTAGAACTCGTCACAGTTGTGAACAACTTGCATTCAACAATTCTACAAGTATGAAACACCAACGAACTAAAACAGGTAGTAATTCGACATTTCTTACTATTTGCTACTATGTAATTTATGTGCATTTGTACCCTGCTCTAAGAGGTGTGAGAAATGTAGACATACAGGTAATTGATTTGGTCTGATCCAACTTTAACTCTCCCACCTACTTTATAAGATCAGAAGAAAGCTCACTGCATATCATCACGTTACTAACCTTTTTGCCTAAGTCATATTTTAGAGTTTTGACAAAACGAGAAAAGAATATGATTTTAAAAACGATTAAACTTTTAATAGAATATCACGTTTTGAACATTCATCGAGTCGTTTTTAATTGGTCAGCAGACTTCGTCAATAAATACGGAACTGTCCAGTGAAGAAAATAGAGGTTTTAGGCAAATATCCCGAAATTGAAAAATATGACTAAGGTAATAAAATAATAATAACGGACGTTACATGGTAACAGTGAATGTCATCTAAAACTTTTTCAAAATATTGTATTTGTGTGTACATCAATTTTCACTCTGGACTTTATAACTACCTGGATCAATTCTATTTGACTCCTGACCATATCAATGGTCTCATCGTTGTGTTCGAGAGCACGAAGTGATGTAAGAATATCATCCAACCAATCATTCATATCATCTTGTCTTCTATCGTAATCTTTCCACAGTTTCATTACGTTTTCCAATCTAGCTCGTTCTTTCGTGAGATCGCCCTCGATCCCGTCCCAGTCCTCTTTAAGTTGCTCCAACATCACGCTGACTCCCGCAGCTTCTGTTCTCGTGTGCAACTGTTCACCTTGTCGTAAAACGTCGCTCTTCACCGACACCTTACGATGATTGGAACATTACGTAATGATATTACAAGCATATATTTTAAAACTAAATACATCGCTAAAACACTGAACGAAATGCCTAATCCGACAGTTAAATACCTTTTCAGTTAACTTTTTCTCGATTTCACGAACTTTGAATAATTTTCCCAGCACAAAATCCACAGTGCCTTCATCGTTCTCCTTTAAGGGAGTGATGAAATTGATTCGTAATTTATGCAGCCATTGAAGCAACTCAAAGTAGCGACTTTCGAATAACTGCCATTGGAAACAAATATCCTTCAACTCCTCATTCAATCCATCCGATTGCAGCTGCAAATCATTCGCGCGAGCTGAAAATAACTGCCATCTTTTGGAAAGTTCTGAGTAATCGTCGTCTTCTTTGAAAATAGCTAAAGTCTCCATTATGCCCTCCATTTCCGTTTTCTTATTTCGAATACTTCTGCCAGTCAACTGAAAATGGTTAAATAAACACAATACAGTCATTGTTTAAGAGCAAGGCAGTGGCTTATCTAAAATCAGGTCGAACTAAAACTACAACATGTCATTTTCGCGGTCAACAGACCTGTATTTCCTTTAGCTTGGATTTCATTTCGTTTAGAGTTTGGGGAATGGCAATACCGATGTAATTTTCAACATTTTCCTCCGCGTTTCTCAGCCAAATTTCAAAGTTCGCCAGTTCTTTGAAGATTTGCATCAGTATGCTGTTGTGTTCGGGCCAAGTCTTCGCTCTACTTCGTGGAGACTTCGACTCCTCAGAGATGGTTTCTACTTCATCGTCGTCCATAGCTGCTTCGACATTCTGAAGTAAGAAAAGGTTCACATTAATGTCTGCTTTGCCGTTTTTCAAATTTCTGTCTGATTTAATAACGTTTTAACGCATTACAAATAGAGTCAAACCTGTATTAAGCGGACACACTATTAAGCACATAGAAACTCAAAACACTTCGTTAAGTACCCAAAAAGCTAATTCGTCATGATGAAACCTCTATCAAGCAGACACCACCATTAAACGGACACAAGTCCGTTCCTAAAGGTGCCCACTTAATACAGGTTTGACTGTATGATGATAAATGAAATTATGATGAGGTCGTTGTTGATTTGATGACCGACATTCCACAATTATTTCAGTACACCGTTTTAAGAAAAATTACTAAAACATATAATACTATGAATATTTGGGGGCTCGTTCTCAAGGCATGAGATTTCTAAGAGAGATTTCAGGGCATGCTTATTGGTATGCTTTTAAAATTTCATCTCCAGAAATTTAATTTAACATATTTAATGATTCGTACGTACACAAAATCCTACACACACCAGGTTTAATGCGTCTGCATGTGTACAGTACAGAGGTCTATCTAATAGTCACTATTTCAAATCACAGTAATGTTGTGCAGGTTTGATTTGAGGGATTTGTCACAAGATTTTAAAAGACCTTTCAAAATTATTGGTAAACCCCCGCTCACCCTCTCCCCCTAGTGTCCGCCCCTTAAAGTATGTAGGAAATTATATTTTTAATGCAGTCATTAGACTGCATGTAAAAATTCATAACAAGACCCCCTCCAATCCCAAAGTATACATTCTGTTGACGGCTCTTGTCAAGAAAACAATTTGAGAACAACATCGTAAACAAAGATAAATAACTGTGTACCATTGTGTTGTGTAATATTCCAGGTTCAACAAAATCATTCCGCCACGTTTTGATGCGTGTTTCAATGCAAGCAACTCGTTGGAGAAGTTCCTTGAAGGTTTCAGAGTTTTGATGTGTGCATGTCGACTCGTTCAGGAAGTTCAAAAGTTCTTTCAACACAGCAAACTCCGACAATATTGACTATAATGTAAACAAAACTCGTCACCATCACTGGTTACAGAATGTAGCTAAAGAATGGGGCATTTTATAGAAAATGATGGTGTTTCCTAAACCGATATGAAGTTCTTTCTTGGCCACAGTGAAGTCCTATTCATCAAATCCTCTTAAACAAATGATGTTTAACCGTTCTCTCAGGAACACCATTTCTTCAGGCAAACTAAAGCATTTTAGACGGAGAACATAGTCGAGCTTTGGTTATGCTATAATAAATCGGTCAATGCTGTTGAAAAATAGATCAAATGATTTTCACATTCTTTTGAAATATTGCTTTATATGGCTTTAACACATCCATATTTAACGACTAAGACAACCAAGTATCTTTCAAAAAAGATCGACAAAATGAAACAAAAAAGCCATTGCAATATGCACTCCTGGTGAGACATGTACTCCTGGTGAGACATGTACTCCTGGTGAGACATGTACTTCATCACTGCACTGTTAACGTACGGAAACCTGAAGATTATAAACACGCTGTTTTCAGGAATTTCAAAGGGCATTTTCGAGATTTTCGGTATTTTTTGTCGTTGTAGTCAAGGTAAAGACTTTAAAGTAAATGTTTTGTTACGGATACAAGCAGAAGATGAGACTAAACAATACCTTGAAAGCTCCATATACACAAGCCTCTTTGCTATTTGAAGCAACTTCATTCAAGACATCGACTCTTTTCAACAAATCTTCAGCTCCCACTTTACACTCCATCACTACGCTCTCACAATCTTTCTCTTCGTTCAATTCCGACGTCTTCATCATCACGTCATAACGAACACGTTGGACATCACCCAATCTCGAGAAAACCTTCAACATGACGTCACGCCATAGATGACGTAACTCGGTCACGTGGTCCGCGTTCATTTCGCTTGAGAACTGCCCAAATTTCGCAGATCGAACCATTAAATCTTTAAGGTCAGCTCTCCTCCGCATGATTTCGACATTTAAACCCTACAAGTTTGAAGACGAATCATGAATGCATGCAATAAGTACTGAAGTTTAATTTTCGCTCAAATTTTGTTGCTCTTTTTACCTGAAAATACTTCACATGTTCTTTCATTTTCTCTGAATCGTTTCCAACAGGAATACCATCAACACTATCTTCTGTAGAAGTCAGCCACTCGAATAAGTCGTGAAATGACGATTGGTAGTTCATAAAATCTTCATTGAAATGTCGCCGACTATCTTGAGGGTCGCTCGCCACCGTAAACGAACCGAGCTTATTCAGGAATCGTTTGATTTCCTGCAAAAAAATTCACGGTTTCACCAAAATCTAACTTACAAACATAAAATCAGGGCCTTTTCAAGATGTCTACCTCATTTTCCGTGTTAAAATACAATGAGCTTAACAGCGCTGTGTTCTTTTTCAAAGCGTACACACAATTGTCTTCGTCTGACGAAGTTTCACTTTCAGTGTGATCATGTAGACGTCGTTCCAAGTCCTTCTGTCTGGTAGACGCGTTTTCCCGCAATTCATCCCATTGGTTGTTGAGAGCTTTGAGCCGTTCTTCAAGTACTTTATGTAAGCCGCTTTGCGCTTTTCTCGTGAAGTTTGGCGCATGCCTGTTCACGATGTTCATTCTTGTTTCGATGTTTTTCATTTCAATACAAACAGCCTAAAGTAAAATGTATCTTGCATTTACAGTTCCTACTTTTTATACGCAATCAACGAAGCTAGAATTGATCAAAAAAAGCTGGAAATAGCCTGAATCTTAGAGATTTTTACGCACATTTAAGCTACGTACATTTTAAGAGTACGCTTCAAAAGATCAAGTCGATTTGTTTTATGTAAAATATTGGATTCTTTCAACTTTTTAAAATCATTTAAAGCATTACTGATCAAGTTGATTTGTTTTATGTAAAATATTGGATTCTTTCAACTTTTTAAAATCATTTAAAGCACTACTGAACTCAGTTTACCAGTTCTCGTGCGAACGGTTTCATAGTAAGCACAAAACACCAAACAAAACGAGTCGTATTTTTCCTGAAGACCTTTCTTCTAAACTGTTTTCTTTCCTAAGCTAAATTAAATACTCACAGCATGTTTGATGAGGGAGGATTTGAGCTTGTCTGGACGATTTTCATCTGGTTTTAACATCTCCTCAAAATGAACTAACTTTTGAAACAGCGCATCCGGCTCGTGGAGAAATTGTTCGATTGTCTCGACTCCAGATTGGGAGATGGATTGTAGTGGATCCTGAAGGATAGAAAGGGGCACATGCTCCTCCTTAAAGGAGTCGTCATTGTTAAGTTTTTCAACCTCTTCATTCACATTGTCGACAGATGCATCTTTCCAACAAGCATTTCTTTGTCCATCGTCATTTGAAGTTATTTCGACATCACTTTCAACAAGATGTACTCCATGATCCATTGATGACACCCTCGTATCCACTAAAGTTATCTCGCCATCACTTTCAACAAGATGTACTCCATGATCCATTGATGACACCCTCGTATTCACTAAAGTTTCCTCGCCATCACTTTCAACAAGATGTACTCCATGATCCATTGATGACACCCTCGTATCCACTACAGTTTCCTCGTCATCATCACGATCATCAAAAGAGACATCTATGACGTCTTTATCTGTTGACGATACAGATAAAGAATCACAGCACACAGATGTTATAACTTGTAGTGGTTTGTCTATGTTATCAGTCCATTCAAAATCTTCCAAATCACGAACGGTTTTTATTAAGATAGTCTCTCCGACAGACGTGACTAGATCGTCTATCTCGCCATTCTTGTCGTGCTCTTTTTGATCTGGGCGACTTAATACCATTTGTTCAATATTTGTATAGTCATTCACGTCAGTAACACAATCGCTAGCAGGACCACGAGGATCTTTTTGAGGTACGTTATTTATCAAAGGAACTGCGAGCGTGTTACTACAACCATCCGCCCATTCACTTGCCGAAGTGTTCATTAAAGAGTCGCCCATGCCACTATCCGATCCACACTGTGATCCATCACTACTCCCTCGCATCACACAATGTTCCTCACTATCCACGTCAGTACTATCACAGAGACCAACGGGAACTGCTTTTCCAACAACAGTTTTACTCTTACCGTGAAATGAACTTTTATAATTAGTTGCATGACCAATTGTACACTCGCTTGAATTTGTGCCATCAATTGTATCCCCTACATGGACTTTTTCGATCCCTTTGCCATCCTTCGTATCCCCCACATGCACATGTCCAATCCTTTTGTCATCATTGGTATCCCCCACATGCACATGTCCAATCCTTTTGTCATCCAGCGTATCCCCTACGTGCATGCTTTCTATCCTTCTGTCATCCTCCGTATCCTCTACATGAATGTTTTCTTTCCTTCTGTTATCCAGCGTATCCCCTACGTGCACGTTTTTTATCCTCCTGTCATCTTCCGTATCCCCTGCATGTCTTCTTACGGCGATGTCGTGTTTTAAATGTCTCAGTGAGGAATCTAACTCACAAAACGGAGAAACAATTCTTCCTTTTTCCTCTTCGGAAAGTTTGGATGAAATATCTTCACCAAGTTTTTGAAGATTTCGAAAGTTCTCTTCGAGTGTTTGGAGTTCTTCTTCATCCTGTAATAAACGTAAGAAAATCTCCTCATTGTAACGTTTTCATAAATTATGAGTTTGCAAGATTCTCAAGATGTCAACACTGCTAAGTATTTCAAAAAGCTAATTTTGCTGCATGTGTAATTCTGTTTACCTTTAAAATAGCAGCCGTTACATTATTGCATCATAACACGCATGCTGAGACAAAATGTTATATGAACATGCATTCATCAACAAAGAATATATGTTTCTTGATGGAAATCGTCAACTTTACGCAAAAAGGTTGAGATTTTAAGAAAAACTATTCATTTCCCATACACAACGTTAATACTGATTAAATATAACAGCAATAACAAACAAAGTCACCTCAAATAAACACTGTGTATTCTCATTGTGTTTCCCAGTTTCATTGTGCGACAATCTAGCATTCACTGTTTCAAACTTTCTTTTATAATCCTGCAGAGCCTTCTCAAATCGTTCAGAATCACTCTGTTTCTCGATAAGCTCCTGTATTCGCGAAAATCTTTCTTGAACATCATGTAACTTGCCAGAGAGCGTGTCATTCTCGTCATGTGAAATCGTTTCCCCTTCTTCGATTATCTCAGCAACTTCTTCCGACAGAAGTGCAAACTGATCGCTAAACGCCTGAAAATAAAATGTATGAAAGTACTCATCTTGAGGCTGGGAAGATTCCATTCAGGAAACGACGGTCAGTATAGTTGTGTTTATCATCATTCTGCACGAGGCATCGGGTGTGAGAAACATTTTCGAAATTGTAAATATGACAACAACGACGGTCCAATAACGTCGATACTTCACGTTAAAATATGCATGTCAAAACAATAAAATGGCGACAATTTGATGATGGAGATCCTTTCAATACTAGTTTCAAATCCATCCGCCAAAAGCGTTAGTGTATTACTTAATGCAACATAAAAAGAAGCGGAACACGGACGTATTTTAAATATGTAAATAATTCATCAGACAACGCAGCAAGCGTATCTGTTTACTAGGCAACCATATCGAATGGCTTCGTTCATTTTGTTTTAATTACGCTGAAGCAGTTTCCGAAAGCAAATGTACAATTTTCCGACACTTTTTTTCTTCCTAAAGACGCTACTCTCAAGTGTGGAAATTTATGGCTTTGGAAAATTGGCCAAACTTCAAAGGTGGCCGAGTTTACACGCCATTTAAGATACTTGAAAAACATATTTGTCTATACGATGTAATTAGATACTTCGAACAAATTTGAAACTTGAGACTTCGAAAAAATATAGAATGAAACAGCGGAAACAAAAAGATGAAAAGCACGGAATTGTAAAAAGTCATGAAAACCCGTAGGAAAGGGTTACGATAAACGAACGGAAGGATTACGATCTCTTCATCTTAACGAGGCGTAATTTGTCGGCGAGCCACCTGCTGCAAAATTTTAATTTCTTCTGCAGTAAGTAATGTTGCATGACGCAGTAGGTTCGTAATGAAGTTGTCGAGGTTGATAAAGACAAGACGAATCACTCTGTTGCTGTGAAAATAGTTTGGAAACATGCATTAACGAAGGTCGTTTTCATTCAATTTCCTCTTTCAATTAACTAAAACGACGCGATGTAAAGTCTTCCAACTAAGTTCATGACTTAGGACGGAAAATTAACAATCGTCCAAAAGCAACATGATTCATTTACCTTATCTGTTAAATCAATGCCATTTTACCGAGAAACTCTTCAACTATCACTAACTTGCGTTTCACGGCATCCAGCTTGGATTCAAAATCAACCCGCTTCCTTTCCTTTTCATTTAACAGTGCAATTCTACCATTAAGTTCAGCTTTCAAGGACTCCGCTAGTCTTCCCAGTAGCTCAGTCTCGTTTTTGGGCAAATAAAGCCATAGTTGTTCAATTTCTCTAGCACATTTCTCAACCTGCATCATTCTATCATGGAGGATTTCACGTTCGACCTGCAAAAGATGTTCAAATGACTGTGTTCCGTTGTGTATTTTATATAGTCCAACACCCGCAACTATCTCTCTTTTAAAGTAAATGGTTTGAACCCTGGAGTATCGTTACATGTTTGTAGATGTAGATCGTCCAGGTTGGTATAGTCCTGAGAAGGACTGTTTTTGTTGTTGTTGACTGACGTTTCGACAACCTTAGCGGTAGTCATTTTGACTTCATTTTGACTCTGAAGATGACTACCGCTAAGGTTGTCGAAACGTCAGTCAACAACAACAAAAACAGTCCTTCTCAGGACTATACCAACCTGGACGATCTACATTTACAAACAGGTATCTCTCTTTTCTCGTTGAAGATTTAACATTACCTTATTTTCCAGAACGGCGTCGAAAGAAAGACTTTCCTCCGATTCTTCTAAAGTCTTCTGAACGTGGTTTAAAATGGGCAAAAACACTGCGAACTCTTCCTCCCTCTTTTCCAGTTCCATTCGATGTGACCTCAATGAAAACAGCGCTTCTTCGATGAGTTTGTCATCATGTAAACTTTCCATCTGAAAATAAATGTAGAAAGGATAACGATGTTAGGATTGCAAGAAAGGGCAGCACAGTACGGATAGACTTGCGAAGAAAAATTATCTCAGAAAATCTGCAATGATATATTTGCATTGAAAATACCTTTTCCAGATTCTTTTCCTGATCTTTAACTGCAAGAGAACACTTCGTCAACTCGGTCAACTCCTTTTCTATTTTCACCCCATCCAATGAAAGCACCAGTGGTTTACCACAGATATCCTCGATGTTCCTACACATCCTTTCGACATCTTCAATAACCTCCTTCAACAGAGATCTCTTCGGTAGTTCATGGATGCAACCATTGCATATTGTTAGTTCATTGTTGTCCAGAGAATGTGTCGAAACGCTTTTATCATCGGAAAGACTTTCCACACAAGCAGTACTCCTTTCTTCAGCATGTGAAGCCAAAGTTTTAACGGCTACGGCAGAAACGCCGTGGTCTGTTGATGTAATTCCTGTTGTTTCTTTGTCTTTTGCTGTAACTCCTCTCTTTTCTTTCTCTGTCTCATTAATTGCATCGGTTGAAAAATAATGTTCGTAAACTTGAGTCAAACCCTCAGTCTGCTTTTCATTAATTTCTCCGAGTCCTTTCGGTTTGTTTAGATCTGTTTCATGAGAGTCGTCTGGTGAATCAACGCCATTAAGATAAATAACATCGCTAGAAACTTCATCGAAAGTTTCGTCATCAGCTGTCATTTCAGAGAAACCTTCTTCAACTGTTTCACGGCATTCATTGGCTAAATTAAGCGCATTGTGCTTCACACAAAGTTCCCTGAATGTTTCTGTTGAAAAATTTTCAGTTTTCTGGGGTATTTCTTCAGCTTCGCGACTATGATCTTTCACAGAGTTTTCCTGAAACATTTCCTCGAGGTTTTGTTGTTGCTTCTCATTCGAATCAATATTTTCATCAACGTCGATGTAATCCTTGATACCATTCCTTTCTCCATCGCAATTTATTGGACAATTCCCGCGATAAAAAGACAATTGAGGAAGTGGAACAGCCTTTACAAGCTCATCACACGATTCGCCCACATTCTTATCAAATGGACGAGAAAAATGATTTTTTATTTCGTTACAAACATCACGAATGCTTTTCAATCTTTGAATCAACGCTTTTTGTTCACCATGTAACATCTTGCCTTCTTCAACATTGTCTATTGTCTCATCCACTTCTTTCAAAAGATCATTGAATTTTTTAGCAACTTCTTGTGAAAGAATAAAATTAATTTCGTTATCCATTGATCCCATGCCTAATTTCTGAAGTTGATGCTGAAATTCAAATATCTTCGTCATAATAATGTTTTCCTGTTTCAAATACTTATTCAGCTGCATATATTTCTCTCCTTCAGAATTCTTAACATCTTCAACAGAAGGTTTTAGTCTTTCATATGCCGATATATTTTTGTCAGATTCGACATATTTGTTTGTCAACTCCACAAATGCTTCAGCGCACATTCTACCGTCTACAGCTTCGTTTCTTTTATTTTCAATCTCGTTTATAGTATCATCAATCTCGTTCATAGCATCATCCGTTGCGTTTCTAGCATCTTCTGTCTCGTTTCTAGTATCCTCAATCCTGTTTATAACATCCTCAATCTTGTTTATAACACCTTCAATCTCGTTTCTAGCATCAACAATGTCGTTTCTAGCATATTCAATCTCATTTATAGCATTGCCTGCATCGTTTCTTTCATCACCATTTTCGTTTCTAGCATCATAAATCTCATTTATAGCATTGTCAGCATTGTTTTTAGCTTCCTCTGTCTCATTTATAGCATCTTCTGTCCCGTTTTTAGCGTCCTCGATCTCGTTTATAGCATCCTCAATCTCGTTTATAGCATCCTCTGTATCGTTTCTAGCATCCTCTGTATCGTTTATAGCAACTTCTGCATCGTTTCTGGCATCCCCAATCTCGTTTATAACATCCTCTGTATCGTTTACAACATCCTCAATATCGTTTCTAGCATCCTCTGTATCGTTTATAGCAACTTCTGCATCGTTTCTAGCATCCTCAATCTCGTTTCTAGCATCCTCTGTATCGTTTATAGCAACTTCTGCATCGTTTCTAGCATCCTCAATCTCGTTTCTAGCATCCTCTGTATCGTTTATAGCAACTTCTGCATCGTTTCTGGCATCCCCAATCTCGTTTATAACATCCTCTGTATCGTTTATAACATCCTCAATATCGTTTCTAGCATCCTCAATATCGTTTATAGCATCCTCTGTGTCGTTTCTAGCATCCTGTGTATCGTTTATAGCATCCTCTGTATCGTTTATAATACCCTCTGTATCGTTTATAGCATCCTCTGTGTCGTTTCTAGCATCCTCTGTATCGTTTATAGCAACTTCTGCATCGTTTCTGGCATCCCCAATCTCGTTTATAACATCCTCTGTATCGTTTATAACATCCTCAATATCGTTTCTAGCATCCTCTGTATCGTTTATAGCAACTTCTGCATCGTTTCTAGCATCCTCAATCTCGTTTCTAGCATCCTCTGTATCGTTTATAGCAACTTCTGCATCGTTTCTGGCATCCCCAATCTCGTTTATAACATCCTCTGTATCGTTTATAACATCCTCAATATCGTTTCTAGCATCCTCAATATCGTTTATAGCATCCTCTGTGTCGTTTCTAGCATCCTGTGTATCGTTTATAGCATCCTCTGTATCGTTTATAACATCCTCTGTGTCGTTTCTAGCATCCTGTGTATCGTTTATAGCATCCTCTGTATCGTTTATAATACCCTCTGTATCGTTTATAGCATCCTCTGTGTCGTTTCTAGCATCCTCTGTATTGTTTATAGCAACTTCTGCATCGTTTCTGGCATCCCCAATCTCGTTTGTAACATCCTCTGTATCGTTTATAACATCCTCAATATCGTTTCTAGCATCCTCTGTATCGTTTATAGCAACTTCTGCATCGTTTCTAGCATCCTCAATCTCGTTTCTGGCATCCTCCGTATCGTTTATAGCAACTTCTGCATCGTTTCTGGCATCCTCAATCTCGTTTATAGCAACTTCTATATCGTCTCTATCATCCTCGATCTCGTTTCCGGCAGGTTCAACTGCGACAGAAAGTTCATATGCTAACATTGTGACGTTAGATTCCAGACATTCATGCTCGAAGTCTGACTTTCTTTCATTCAATCCATGATGCTTGAATTGTAGCCCCATAAACTCATCTGAAGATATGCTTTTCTCTGTTTCTTCGCCTTTCTCTAAGAAGTTGCTATTGCTCCCACACAACTCGCGGTCGCGAGGTCATCGCTTTCTTTCATTTCCTCTAGTGGTGAAATTTTACTGTCAACAATATCTTCGAATTCTCTTTCCTTAACATCACATCGTGATCTCAACAACTCCAGAGATGAAATTCTATCGACAACACTCATTTTCATTGACGCCATCTTCTTTTCAAGATCAAGCAACTCGAGCACAATAACCTCTTTCTCTTCGTTATTTACTTCTTCGGTAAAATTTTCAACTCCTTTCTTCAACTCGGACAACGTTTCTTTCTTGTGTTCAATGCTGATCAAGCAACGCCTTCCAAACTCTAAAACTTTATCTAATCCCTTGGTTTCGACTCCTTCCCCGTAGAGAAATCCTTGCACCTCCAGCATCAATAGAGAAAGTTCCTCGACTTTTCCTTCGAAGTCATAAAAACATTTCAAAGTGACGTCAAGACAGTTGATATTCTTTTGCAACTCTTTCATTACAACCACAAATCTTTCTTTCAGTTGCAACACATTCTCATTCGGAGAATTCTCATCTCGTACGCGTGTCATCTCAACCATTTCGTGAACAACTTTCTCTTTGCATTTCAGTTCGTCTAAAAACCGCCTTCCAATGTGGAGTGCCACCTCTTTCGCAGTGAGATCAAAAAATTCGTCTTCTTCATTCAGATACTCTTCAACTTTACCGAGAAGGTCAGAAATCTCGAGAAAGTATTTTTAAACGATGTTTCAACATCGTATTTAGCATCCTCACTTTCGTTTCTAGTATCTTCAGCCTCGTTTCCAGCATACTCAATCTCGTTTTCAGCATCCTCAGTCTCGTTTTCAACATTCGTAGTCTTGTTTCTATCAGCATCAGACTCGTTTGCAGCATATTCAATTTCGTTCCTATCATCTTCAGCCGCGTTTGTAGCATTTTTAGAATCGTTTTCAAAAATCCCATTTCCGTTGTTATTACAAATGTCTTCACCTTCGCCATCTACAGTTTTATTCAAAACACCATTTACATGAAGTACTCCATCATTTTCATAATCATTCGTGTCCTTTGGTTTTTCCGTCTCTTCGCTCGCAGTGCTTTCACCACAAATCAAAGCTAATCCGAAATTTTCGCGTAATCCACGATCCAAATCCTCCATTATAACTCCAGACTCGTGAACTACTCGTGACCAGGTGGCTTCGTCCATAATCTCATTAAGTTCCTTCAACCTCTCTAAAACCTGGCTGTTCAAAAAATACCACTCATATTTCAATCGTTCAAGCTGTTCGTTTATCTCACTTGCATCTCCTTGAGGCAATTTTTCAGACAACCTCTGACCAAAACTCAGAACATCGTCGAACAAGTCAGCTTTAACTTTGGTTTCATTCCATATCGAAAGATACGTCAACAAATTGTCTTCGTGCTCAGACTCCTCAACCTCTCCACTCATTCGCTCCCCGATGGTTTGAACCCAGTCCCAGAACTGTTCAACGGTGTCATAATATGACTTATGCTGACATAGGCATTCTTCGATGTGTTCCTCCTGGGATGTAAACACTTGCTCCAATTTTCGCCACATCTCAAGGACTTTTGTCATTTTATATTCGATTTCATCAACAAATTCTGCTGAGTTCATACATTTAAGTTCGCTTCCGAATTTCACAAGATTATCCACTTTTTCCTTCATGATATAAAACTCCTTTGCAAGATTTTCGTGTTTTAAAGCGACTGTTTCCCTTTCTTCCTCGGTCAAACAGTAAAAATCAACGAGTACAATGTCTTTGGTTTCGACCATCCAACTGTTGACTTCATCTACTTCTTCGTAAAATTCTTCCATTCTTTTCAAAACCATTTCTAATTTTGATAATTTACTTGAAAGACCGTTCTCTGTCGTTATACATTGATCAATGAGGCCGTTTAGCTTTCCCTGATAGTGTGGAGTGGAAACGTTCTCGCTTTCCTCAACATCAAACTCCGACCGAAAATCCTTTAAAACTGCTATACAATCACGTAGATTGGCCAAAGTTTTTCCTATTTTTTCCATTTCGCTTTTGTTCAAACATGTAGCAAAGTCCTTTTGCAAAAGCAAGATGTTCTCCTCTACAGTTTGCACGCAATCATTCAAAGTTTTTCCTCTCGACTCTCGACTTTTTATTTCACGTATGACTTCTGTTTTTCGATCCTTCACGTTATTCCACGCACTTTCGTATTCCTTCAGCAGTTGACTTAATCTCGACGTCTTCAAAACATCTTCGCAAGACTCTTTCTGTTTCCGCTTCAACACTTCAATCGCTTCACTTTGTGATTCAAGAAGATCACCAATTGCCTACAAACAAGAAACGTGTATGACAAAACTAAATGGGTATCGAGTGAAACAATAAATAACAGAAATAAAACAGACATGACTGTATAACAAAACACAAAATTCTAACAACCTTTAAAACGTAGGTGTCATTTTCTCTCGACATTAAGTTCGTTTGATCGAGAATTGTTATTGAACGGACATTGTTCGTCTTAATTTTTTGTGCATATTACATTTTCTATTTTATGTTTCTAACACCGAGTACAACTCACGCGAAAGGGTTATCTGCTAAAATAACGATCATCATTATTACAAAACAACACACTATATATAAAATAACACAGCATGGGGTGACACAATGCATCACACAACATACAAATACAACACAGTACATATGAAACAACACAGAAAGGTTTGATACAATGCATCACACAACATACAAATACAACACAGTACATATGAAACAACACAGTAAGGTTTGACACAATGCATCACACAACATACAAAACAACACAGTAAGGTTTGACACAATGCATCACACAAAATACAAAACAAAACATGCAACGCACTACATATAAAATAACACGGTAAAGTTTGACACAATGCATCACACAACATATAAAACAAAACATGCAACGCACTACATATAAAATAACACAGCATAGCTCAATACAATGTAACCCGTACAAGCAACAACACACCAACTACATCACACAACATACAAAACAACACAGCATAGTTCAATACAATGTACAGAACACAACACGAACACAACACCGCTGTACAGAGAGAATAACCACCTTTAACATTTCAAAATGTTGTTTCAGCTCTTCATCGTCCATACCCCCTCCTTCACAAGATGATACTCGTTTAACGTCATCAACAATTTTCTGAATACTATCAATGCTGTTCTCTATTTCCTGTTGATCTTCGAAGACCTTCTCTAAACTGACTTTTCTGTCGACAGCCTGCTTCATGACGACGTCAAATAAATCCTTAATTTCCTCAAATTCTTCTGCCATTCCCACCAAAGAATCATCTCCTTTTGTCGTCTCGCGACTTTTTGCCCAAAACTCCTCGAAATTAATTTTTTCACTGGACAAACAATCGCATATCGCCTAAATACGATAGGAGTAAAATATATTTGAATTGCGAGGTCAAAAAGAGCGGTTTATTTTTTTTTATCTCAGCATGCGAAGCGATATTTTTTATTTCCAGCAATTTGATTGGCTGCCTCCGCGGGCAATTTGATTGGCTTCATGAACGGGCGGGTTTTTACGAAGAGCCCGCGGGTCAAAAGTGATATTTTTTCGCAATGTATTTGTTTACAAAGTGAAATTTAAATTTTTAAAATTGATTTAAAAGTAATGTAAATTGTTCAACGAGAAAGCAAAGTGTATTAAGATGTTAGTTATAAAAGTGAGAGTGAATTTTACTACTCAAACGAAGAGAAATTTGTGGAAAACAATCCAATTTTAGTCTCAACATCAAGCCACATCGGCCATTTTACAACGCGAATTTATTCATAATAAAATAAATAAATAAAATAAAAAAGTAAATATGTTATTTACCGTCTAGGTCGGTACGTACTCAAAAAATATTTCAACTCGGTTACGGACCTCCCAGCCGATCAATAACATATATTTATTTTACAACAAACCTGAACATCATTCATTTTCATTGATAAATCTTGCAAAGAACCAGAGACAGACACGATCGCGTCTAATTTGCACTGAAAATCTCCCAACTTCTCTTCATAAACTTTCAATGCTTTACACGTCTCTCCTCTTCTACTTGACATGTCATCACTACTCATTCTTGAAGTGCGTTGCTACACGAGATCAGGGCGCCACAAAACTCGGCCCAGTCTTTTTCAAACTTGGCCAACTGGTTTTCGAGTTTGGACTTAAAGGGATCGGAGACGGTCTGTAGCAGTGCATCGCCTTTTGCGTAAACGTCATAGATAAAATCCACTTTATCCATCTGGTCTAGAAGTTCCTGAAAAATCATAAACAAATGTTAAGTCACAAGATACAGCGCTTTGTTACGTTGACATTTGTACGAGCATCACCTGAATACGCGCGTTTTTCTCATTGAGGCTGATATCAGCTGAAGTCTGACAGACATAAAGTTTTTCTCTGAATTTAGCAAACCACGTTAGCTGAGCGACTGCATCGTACTGGATGTGACAGTCGTACGCTGACTGCAACTCAACTTGAGATTGCTTCGATTCGCTGGAAATGGCGTCATAAAGAGAACGTAAGTCTTGCATTTTGTCTTGAAGGGAGGAAAAACGATTTCGAACGGAAGTTTCAAGGAGCTCTCTCTCTTCTTCAAATTCGTTCACAAGGCCGGAGAAATCGTCTCGAAATTTCTGTATAATAACATGGGATTAGGATGGTTAACGGAGAGCATGATTTGGCCATTTAATTAAGACAACATTTCATGACATTAAATAGCTATGAGTTGTTAAAAAATTAAGTGTAAAAAACACTCGGCTAAATTAAAAATACATCAACAGAAAGTTCTCAATATGTCAGTTGTACGTATGCTCATTTCAGCAATGTGTTTGCTCGACTGGTTTGTTTACTAAAGCATCAAGGTCGACAAAAATGCTGCAAAACAGGTCTTATATCAGTCAAAAACATAGTTCTTAAGGTGTCTTCGTATTCATCCCATTTCATGACGTCTTGAAGAATGAGTCCAAGATTCGTTTTGTCTTGAAGCTTGAATAAGTCAAAGAACGGGAGGAGAGAGGGCAGACTAGCTTAAACCACTTATTTGTCATTGCGTGGGGTATACAAGTTTATGAGCCCGCGACATTTTCTTTTTGCAACTATAGTGGTCAGCGGCACAAAGTGTTCGCTGTACTGCATTCCCGCCTGGGATCAGCTACACACCACAAATAGTAAAATTACATTCTCACCTTAAAATCACTCAGCTTTCGCTCTACGTCAAGAAGTTCGTCACCAGATGAATACCTACAAACGTACAGCCGTTCACGAAACTCGTTTAACCGGTTTATCCAGGTTTCGATCGCCGCTGACGTGTCGAGGTATTGCTCATAAGCTTCGTCTCTAAACGACCAATCATTTTCATTCATACTCAGCCCCAGTCCTTCAGAAAAAGTCTCCAGACTTCCAAGATCATCTTGAGAAGAAGACATACATCGTGTCAGACAACTGCTTGAGGCTTCACTGTTTTGGGAATGTACAAGATTCTGAAGACTTCTCCATTGTGATTGCATCGGCTGTAGCATATCAGCGATGTCTACTTGGGTGTCATCTGTTGAATTTTCACGCAGTTTCAAAACTTGGTAGCTCACTGATCGAATGAGAGAGCTCTTCGCTAACACTTCATTCTGTATTTCGGACGAAATATTCATATCCTCAATTGAGCCTAAATCCTCGTGAACAGCGGATAACCAATTTTCCAGTTCCACTTTTTCTTCATCAATTTTCTCCATGTCGAACGAGACCTTCAGTAAGACTTCCTCCTTCTTTAAAGCTCGGGCTTTCATCTCGGCGAAACAATTGGCAACTGACCTTAGATCATGTTCAACGTTATCAACGTGTATCCCCTTATCACGCAGTTCCAACACAAGTTCTTCGCCATCTTTAGTGATCTCGTTTATGTCCGTTTCATTCAATAGAGTAAGAGCTTGTTGACAGTCGGAGAGTTGTTCACTAACGTCGTTTTTGCTGACAAGTCTTCGCGTGTTGGCGATCAAACTGCTTGTGTTATTGAACATATCTAAAAACCGCCGTTTTCTCTCGGAAAAGTCGTTCCAGCGTTTGACCAAATCCACGAAATAATCCCGTTTCTTCTCGACTTCCGCTTCGAGATTTTGAAAGCGGTCGTTGACAGTTTTGAGAAGGTCGGTTAAATATTCGTCGTCATAAGATTCAAGAATCTTTCCCGCGGAATCGTTTAACGTTTTCAGGTCTGATTTTCGTACGTTGATCCTTTCGAGGATGTACTGAAAAATTCAGAAATATTTTCAGTTATGGAGAAATGAGCTTTGACAACTAAAACATTTCTATACAATACTTGAGCAAAAAACAGATCGCATTTCCATGACCTTAGCATGGACAGTTATAAGGCAATTTAAGAAATCTTTTAGTTGGGTTCAAAATAAATCAAACCAGTTCAATTTTCAATTGAATATGTCTTTGGTGACGACTTTACATAGAGCAAAATCTCAGTAATCAAATTGCTTCGAAGATGTATTGAAATGTAAATATTTTCAAAAATGAGTCAAAGTATTTCGTAGTGGCTAGATCTGCTTGGTTTATTTCAGAGCGAAGAAAAATCCTCGTGGCTTCTTCTGCCACAGTAGTTTTTTTTAAGCAAAACACTGAACACGATAAATCGTTTTGAGTTGATGACAAACGGGCAACATTCAACGACTATAGAAACTTTATACCGAACACAAATACACATTGCTCGTACACCGATGTACACACAGGGATCTTTGTGTATCAATACCTCGTAGTTGTTCAACTGCTCGCGTGGATCCTCGACGATTGGTTCCAAAGACTTTCCTAAGCCAGCATCACTTTCCTTACGATTTAACCAACGCATCATTTTGATTTTATTTCTTGTAAAATCCCACCATTTTCGCGCCGTCGACTCAACCTCTTTCTTCTGATTTTCAACTCGCTCCAGAACGTGTTTCCACTTTGTATCAAGAGTCTTCAATTCTTTGTCGAAGGCGACAAAATTCCCTTGCGATTTTTCCTCCAACATCAAATGGCCATTTTCGTGACGACATCAAAATCGTGACACTTCTCCTTGCACTCCTGCACCAACAGCTATAATTGAAAACCATTTGTAAACCATAGAAGTTTACCGAAATACTTCTCGTATGTAAAAGTTTATCAGAGGAGTTCCCGTACATAGAAGTTTAGCAAGTTAGTTAAGAATTTAGCATGATATAAAAAACCATGTCCAGCCGACAATTTAAAGAAATATAATATAAAACAAACTCCGAAGAAGCAAGACATCTTGAGATTGCAAAATATGCATCAAAACAAGACGAGAAGTGAACTGTAAATTTTCGACTTTATTTCAAAGTCATCCTCAGACAGAGTGATGTGTGGATTTTTGTCGGAACCCGGACACTGCGAAGCGGACATTTGTTCCCATACATTAGAACTTTGTAAGTTCTAATCATTACGCAGCTTGAGTATTTTTTAACATCTCACACAAGACGAAACGATATTGATGATGAAACAACTGCTTTCAAACACCTCTAACGAGCTCAACAATCATGAGGACAAAACGTACCTTTGCTTCCTTGCTTTCAGCATTCAATTGTTCCATGACATTTCCTGGTAGTTCGATCTCCGCCATCTTTCCTTGGATTTTATCAAAGTACTTCACGACGGACGCCGACACCTTTTCGTAATGCATCGACATCACAGTTAACTGATACCGGCCGTAGGTCCAACGTGAATACTCGTCCCAATCCTCAGCCAAACGGCTGATGCTCATGTTCAACTCTTCTTTTTCATTGTCGTCACAAATGGATTCGCGAATCAAACGACTTTCCGCCACCAAACTTTCGAAGCTTTTTTGACGTTCACGAAATTCCGTTTGAAGTTTCTAAGCGTAACAAAATTAGAGGTGTTATTTCGTTTCAAGAAGTTTACCCAAACAGTTTATGATTTTCCCATTCTTTCATTTGAACGAAGAGCAGAATAAGGAGGGTATGTATAAATGTGTATATGGGAGAATGCATTCCAACTTTCGTGAAATATATATATAAAGTCAGTCTAGAAACTAATAATGGTCCAAACTGGTAGAGTTGGTGGTACTGGGAATGATACTAGTGCTGGTAGTGGTAATGGTAGTGGTACTGGTAATGATACTGGTACTGGTACTGTTAATGGTACTGGTAGTGATACTGGTAATGGTACTGGAAGTGGTACTGATAGTGGTACTGATAGTGGTACTGATAGTGGTACTGGTAGTGATACTGGTAGTGATACTGGTAGTGGTACTGATAGTGGTACTGATAGTGGTACTGGTAGTGATACTGGTAGTGATACTGGTACTGGTACCGTTAGTGGTAATGGTCCAAACTGGTATAGTTAGTGGTACTGGTACTGGGAATGATACTGGTGTTGGTAGTGGTACTAGTGCTGGTACTGGTAATGGTACTGGTACTGGAAGTGGTACTGATAGTGGTACTGATAGTGGTACTGGTAGTGATACTGGTAGTGATAGTGGTACTGGTACTGTTAGTGGTAATGGTCCAAACTGGTAGTGGTACTGGAAGTGGTACTGATAGTGGTACTGATAGTGATACTGGTAGTGATACTGATAGTGGTACTGATAGTGGTACTGGTACTGTTAGTGGTAATGGTCCAAACTGGTACTGGTACCGATAGTGGTAATGGTCCAGACTGGTAGTTGTACTGATAGTCTAGCAGGACTTTTTTATCAAATACAGACTCTACAAAATTCGGTCCCTTAACGTGAAACACCACAATATTTTGCACCCTTTATTTGCATAAGGATGAAAACACAATACTTCACACGTTTACTCTTACATACCTCGAGATTTTCAATCATGGCTGCGCTGTTTTCCAGCATCTTCCAATCGTTGCATTTCCGTTTAACTTCTTGCAACCAAGACTGAAGTTCCTGAAGGTTTTTTTCAAAAATACGACGGGTTTCGTTATCTAGCTCAAGTTCGACAACTTGCTGTGAAGAACATTCCTCATCTTCTGACTTCGTTTCCATTACTTTCGCCATGTCATTCTCGCGAGCTCTTTTCCATTCCTCCAAAGCAACTGTCGTGTCATCATCGACGTGTTTCGCGACTGACGTGTCAAGAAACAAGGCACAAAGTTCTTCTTTACATTTTATTACCTGCTGGAAAATGTTCTCTCCCTCTGTGTGACTATGAAGATCCTAAAGGATATCACATTAAATCCGTTGATCAATATGTACATACATGGACATTGTGTATACATCTATGTCACATGGATAGATTGCTCAAAAATGAAGATTTTCTCCCCCCTCTCTGCGATTGTAAAGGTCCTAGAAGATACCACATACAATCGATTAGGAAACAAGCAATATTTATTCATCTACGTATATTGACATTGCTCGCAAGACAAAACCTTTGATGTGTTATTGACAAGTCAAACACACAGCACTGGTTATTGAGCTCGTCTGAATTTCTTACATTAAAGAGTGTCTATCGCGTATTTTACTAAACATTAAAAACAGTTAAAGATACTTTCCAGGCTGCTTCACAAACAAATATGTTAAATGAAGTATCGGGACAAACCTCTGATAAACAAGAGACGTTTTTGAGAGTTTTCAAGGCTGCGTCGAGCTTCTCCCACGCAAAAAACACCTCACACACACGGGAATATTGTTCATTCCAACGCTCCTCGAATGCTTTCAATGTTTCAGCCATCCTGTTGAAAGTTTCCCAATAAATCTCAGCTCCTTTAACTCCAACGATGTTCTCGATCTGTGAGCAAACGCTGTTTTTCGTTTTAATTTTCTCCTTGTACTTCTCGTAAGATTTCATCTGCCCGTCGCATTCCTTGAAAAGTTCCCGTGTTTCCCAAACGTTTTCGCACTTGAGAGGTTCTTTGTGTAAAAGTTGCGTGGTGTCAGAGATCCATTTATCAAATTCCTCCAAACCCGACCTAAAATTGTCATCAAGTCTTTGCAGATGTTTTAATTTCTTGTGTTTTTGGGGTAGATTCGTCTTGAGTTTCTCGAAGCGTCTATTAACGTTCAATATTGTCGCTTTAACGGACGATGCGATAGCCTGATCCTTCATCAATGCTTTGCCTATCTCGTTGATCTTTGCAACAACGGTAACATTGTTATTCAACTCGTCAACCATGGACTAAATGAAAGAAGATAGTCAATATGTCGGGGAGAATTCTGTTGTAGGGATGTGATCAAAGGTTTAGAAGTTTTTTTCTTCAAAGGGCTTCTCTTGAAACAGTTGATGGTGATGATTATGGTTGGATTCACGACTGTTTTGTGATTGGATATGGTTGGATTCACGACTGTTTTGTGATTGGATATGGTTGGATTCACGACTGTTTTGTGGGGGGGAGAAACAATTGATGGTGATGATCAAGGTTGGATTCACGATTTTTTTTGGGGGGGGAGGGTGAAACAATTGATGGTGATGACCATGGTTGGAATCGCGACTGTTTTGTAGGGGGGGTGCGCACCTCGGCTTTTTACAAAGAAAAGCTCGTGAAATGAAAGTCAATTGAGTACATCTTACGACTGACAAAAAGTAGTTTGGTAAAACACAAAGTAATTAACACTCTATCAGAAGTAACAATTTTATTCTAAAAAGTTTCGAAAAGTTGTTAAGTACCAAATGCCGTCATCAGTAAAATGGACGACATCTTACGACATCTTAAGTAGTGTCGTTTGTTTTGTGTTTCACTACACATAAATACGATGACATGTTCATCATCTGAAAGCGCGATGTCTTTCACAGATTTCAATGCTGTTTTTCCCATAAAAATCAACAGTACAATTATGTACATTGAAGTACATTTATGTTCCTTACCTCGTATCTTTTTCACTAAAAATAAACAGTACAATTATGTACATTGAAGTACATTTATGTTCCTTACCTCGTATCTCAAGACTTCATTTCGCACTCCACCAAGATCACTAAAAAAATTCCTCTTTCACGCTGCATTCTGATTGGTCTAACCAGTCCGTCATATCATCCACGCAACATTCGTAGTCCTCCAGCCTGGGATCCCTGTGTTTGCTCTTGACGAGACGCGTATAACGCCGACTAACTCTACGTAACCGTCGATCTAACATTGCAAATTGTTGCTCTAACTGTGTGCTTGCTGTTCTACATGTATGACGTATGAGTTGCTTGGTGGCATCATTGGCTATCGCAACATCTTGCTGAGCGTCTTCGAAGTCCGCGAAATATCGCTGACAGAAATACACACAAAATAAGAAATATGTTGTGGAGAATAAAGTGAGATTAGTATAGCATGTATTTCTCTGTTGCTGATTAAATCCAACGACATTCGATGACTGACTACAGGACAAAATACACTTCTCTATGACTGACTACAGGATAACATACACTTCTCTATGGCTGACTACAGTATAGCATACACTTCACTATGGCTGACTACAGGATAGCATACACTTCTCTATGGCTGACTACAGTATAGCATACATTTCTCTATGGTTGACTACAGGATAGTATACATTTCTCTATGACTGACTACAGGAAAACATACACTTCTCTATGACTGACTACAGGATAGCATACACTTCTCCATGGCTGACTACAGGACAAAATACACTTCTCTATGGCTGACTACAGGATAGCATACACTTCTCTATGACTGACAACAGGACAGCATACACTTCTCTATGATTGACTACAGGATAGCATACGCTTCTCTATGGCTGACTACAGGATAGCATACACTTCTCTATGACTGACTACAGAATAGTTTACACTTCTCTATGACTGACTACAAGATAGCATGCACTTCTCTATGGCTGACTACAGGAAAACAAACACTTCTCTATGACTGACTACAGGATAGCATACACTTCTCTATGGCTGACTACAGGACAAAATACACTTCTCTATGGCTGACTACAGGATAGCATACAGACTGACAACAGGACAGCATACACTTCTCTATGGCTGACTACAGGATAGCATACACTTCTCTATGATTGACTACAGTATAACATACACTTCTTTATGGCTGACTACAGGATAGCATACATTTCTCTATGATTGACTACAGGATAACATACACTTCTCTATGACTGACTACAGAATAGTTTACACTTCTCTATGACTGACTACAAGATAGCATGCACTTCTCTATGGCTGACTACAGGAAAACATACACTTCTCTATGACTGACTACAGGATAGCATACACTTCCATGGCTGACTACAGGACAAAATACACTTCTCTATGGCTGACTACAGGATAGCATACACTTCTCTATGACTGACAACAGGACAGCATACACTTCTCTATGATTGACTACAGGATAACATACGCTTCTCTATGGCTGACTACAGGATAGCATACACTTCTCTATGATTGACTACAGTATAACATACACTTCTTATGGCTGACTACAGGATAGCATACATTTCTCTATGATTGACTACAGTATAGAATACACTTCTCTATGACTGACTACAGGACAGCATACACTTCTCTATGGCTGACTACAGGACAGCATACACTTCTCTATGATTGACTACAGGATAGCATACACTTCTCTATGGTTGACTACAAAATAAACATCTCTAAACTCTAAAAATGATTACAGAATAGCACAAATTTCTTTGCTGCTCATCAAAAGATAGCGTACACCTTCATCTTTCGGCTGAATACATGAATACTGATTAAAATAGCATTAATCATTTGTTTACCTCGCACTTTCTTTTTCCCCATCTTTAAGAAGTGTTTCTGCCTTTACAAGCCATGGCAACGTACTTTCCATTACTCTATCAAACTCTTCCCAATATCGACAAACCTTCTCCAACACATCGCCATCTATTTTCATACGTCTCAATACTTCCTCGAAATGTGACGAAATCTCCTTCAGGAGCGAGTTCGCATCCTTTCTTTCCTCGTCGCTCATGCGGACACGAGATTTTTCAACAGCACATTTCAGTTTCTGACAATAACTGCTCAATTTACGAATGTACCTTCGCTCGTGAAAAAAATCCTAAATATGCAAAAATATAGAAAATGAAATTGATTGATCGAAGATATTTTAAAAGGAAAGAATATCAAGATAAAGTTCAAAATAGTACTTGGATGTCGTCCCCAACTGCTCCCGATCACGTCCTACTTTTCGACTCTCGAAACAGAAAGTTATGTTTGCGAATTGTTTTCGAAATAAGTTACGTCACAAATATGTCATAATCTACGTAATACATTGCGTCAATAAGTACGCGACGAATGCTTGACGTTTCAAACAATATTTTGAATGTTGCATTTAAGAATATTTCTTAAATAGTTCACTACTACTTCAAGCACAACCGTTGTTTTAATAATAAAGTGGAAATTTACTGCTTTTAGTTTAAAGTATGATTTATAAAAACAAGTTGCGCTTAAATCTTCAAACATTTGTCGTCTAATGCACAAAGAGAATGATTAAATATTGAAATCTGTCACTTTTACGTACTTCGTACACACTAACAAAGCAACATGACAACACTCATTCTGGTTGATGATTTTTAGTTCAACGCAGATTTCTAGACCAAAAACCATGACCAGCCGACAATTTAAAGAAGTATAATATAAAACAAATTCCGAAGAAACAAGACATCTTGAGATTGCAAAATATGAATCAAAACAAGACGAGAAATAAACTGTAAATTTTCGACTTTATTTCAAAGTCATCCTCAGACAGAATGCAGATTTCTATGCTGTAATGATAATGTTTCTTAAGAAGCAGAAACCTGAATAATAAACTGAAAAGTGTTCTCGAGTCGGCATTCCGAGAAGGCCAAACTTTATCAACTCTCGTGAAAAACAAAAACATTGGTTTATATCAAATAAAATCTCACCAGATGATCGTTAAAGGCATCCTCGGCCGAGGATTTTGAAGAAAATTTGATATGTTCATTTAGTAAATGTTCCTTGCACAACTCGAGGCATCGATGTATCTTGGTTTTGTAAAACTCGATGCTGAGTCTGTCTTCAACATTTTGGTAGTCTTCTTTGATGGCTTCAAATCTTTCTCTGAGATCCCATGGTGTACCCTGATCAACATCAATACCCCCATTGTTTTCCTGTTTGCATAGATCTTCTATAATCCGACCTTTTTCTTCGAGACTGCTGAAGAACTCCTATGTAATAAAACTGGAAAATTATATGACATAAAAATGAAAGTGAGGATCCAGGGATAGTGTAAAGTTTAAAAAAAACACTGCTTTTTAACTTGTGATTTGTATCAAACACAAAATCTTCCATATACGTTTTTTTATTTCTGCGCTAACTTCTTGGCAAAAAAACCGCACTCAAATCAAACTTAAAGTCTAAATGTGAGTTGTTTTTGTGGTCGACGGTTTACATGCAAGCGATTTTCTTTTTGTCCGCAAGCGGTGTTACATCTATAGTTGTTTTTGGCTACTTTACTTTTAAGCATTGTGGAGGGACGCTATTCTCTATGTTTTTATTGATAAGAAAACTCGCGATAAAAGTGCAATGATAATATTCACGGCATGAATATCGCTGGTTCGCTTAAAGCTCCAGAACCCAGCTCTTGTACTACTAAGATATGGAGAAAAATCTTAAACATAACCACTTCCTAACAGGATTCTAAAGCAAATGCAGTTCGTACATGTATGGACGTCGTCAATCTTACATACTTAAAATCAAACCTAAGTAAACGAACAGAGAATTAGTCACCCATCACCCGATACCTTAAGATTTTGTACTCCGTATTTCATCAAACGATTCCGTCGTTTACCGACATATTACGACAAGTTTCCAACAGCGCCTCGGCTCGGTTGAGGTAACAGAAGATCTTGGACAAATCTCCATCTTGACTCATCAAAGTCAATTTTTTCTCTTGTATCGTCACTCTTTGTTTTATAACCTCCCACTTACGAATGGCGATGCGGTAATCCTTACCAGGTAAGCCGATCGCAGTGTCGCAAGTTTTTTTGATGATTGTGACTTTCAACTCTTGAAGTCGTGTTTCCTCTTTGAAAACTTGAAAATTCCTCTAAAATGAACGTAGCTTTTCAGCACGCTGAATTTCGAGGGACGATATTTTTCCAAGACATAATGCATGCAGTGAAGAAGTGATACATAGGAGATACGTGCTCCTTTCAACAGAATTACTTTAAAAATTCGCATTTCTCATTAAAATGCAGAAGTTAGGTTTGAGATGGTAAAACATAAACCATTCACAGGGAACGAATTGCCTTTTGCAAAGAGAGAGGTTTTCTCTGTTTTCGCGACATAGAACGACATTTTTCTGTACATGACATTCCATGTTTGTAAATGTAGATCGTCCAGGTTGGTATAGTCCTGAGAAGGACTGTTTTTGTTATTGTTGACTGACGTTTCGACAACCTTAGCGGTAGTCATCTTCAGAGTCAAACGAGGAGTAAACGTCAGGTTAGCCGTCAGGCTTACTCCTGGACTTACGTAAACGTCAGGTTTACTCCTCATTTGACTCTGAAGATGACTACTGCTAAGGTTTCGAAACGTCAGTCAACAACAACAAAAACAGTCCTTCTCAGACTATACCAACCTGGACGATCTACATTTACAAACATGTAACGATACTCCCGGGCTCAAACCATTTGCTTTATTACGTGACATTACGTTATGGATTTCTTAAATGCTTCGATCTGTGCCTTCTGTTTATCAGACACGCGAATAATATACTTTAGAACGTGCAAAACAAACAAACGATACATCATTATTGGACATTCAAACAGCGAAATAAAGCCTCGTTTGAACTACTCTGACTTAGTTAAACAAACATGTAAATTGTCGAACATGGGGGTCAGGCTATCAGCAAAGATATATATAGCACTTGTCCTGTCAACTTCGGCTAACTGCATCCGTACAGTACAAATCTCATAATCCCCAACTAGCACCCACCATCTTGTACACAAGGTCAATTTTACAATTCATTTCAAAACAAGCAAAACATCTTCGCAAATTGTAAAACTAGTTTTAAGGAAAAAAGTTTCTTGGATAGAAAGGGTGGATGATGGTCACTTTGAACATCAAATAGGAACTTTTTTCAAGCCAAGGCTTTTGAGCTGTCGGCGTGGACGGAGGATTAATTGTATAAGTCTAATAATCGTTAAGTCGCAAATAAAGTCTTATGCAAATGTACATCAAATTAGATTCCTTTAATGCCATATGGCTAAAACGCTACAACGCTACAACAACCGTTGTTGAGATGAAAATAAACAAAGAGGGTTTCAATTTGAGCAAGATGCAAAAACATTGTACAAGAAAAACTTGAAAAAAATACACTAATATGATGAGTTGAATGTTTGCGTGAGGATATCTTATTTGTACATTTAAATGTCTTGAGCAGCATTCAAAATGATTTTCAGCATTCATAACTTGTAGCTAACGACAATGCACGACAATAAAGAGGATGTATCACAGATGTGTTTAAAATCCTTTTTACGCGGATAATGTAATCTCGTTTTCAACAAAACAGACTCCGAAGATTGTAAACTCGAGATTAATAAAAACTAGCAAAATTCCGGTGATACTTCGATTTTTCTCCGAAGTCACGGTGAAACAATGTGCCTCGAGTGTAGGAATTTGCAATTACTTTTCGGTACTAAGTGACGAAGTTAATTAAAGACGGCAATTAAACTTCATTAAGCGAAGATCAAGTGAAAGAAAGCAACCTTAGCCCAAACACAAAGCGCTGTGTTTTCGCATCAAAGAGGGCCTACCTTTCTAACTCGAGTGTCTTCATTATCTTCCGTAAGGTCCACATCATCTATGTTAGTTTCCATCAAGTCTAAACGCCTCTCGGCCATTTCCAGCCACAGAACTAAGCCATTAAACAATACGTGTGATTCCTTCGGGAAGGCATCCAAAATTTCGAGGTCATTCTACGGAGAAAAATATCCTTTCAGAGATAACAGCGTGGAAACTTTAGTCAAATGAATAAATAACAGAGCAGATCAACTCGTAAATAGCTACGTAATGTACTTTAGGATTACAATCATGTTTTGAGCTTACACGTTTTTGCTCTATAAACACGAAGATCGATTATTGATGAAGTGGTAATTTATTAATAACCTAACTTCTCATCAACATTCAAAACCACAGCCAATGGCAGGGAAGATGAACGATGTGAAATGTGGAAAAGGAATGGATCGGAATGAAAACTATGATGACGATCATCGAGGGATCGCTGTGATGATTATCGATGGATAAATGTGACGATTGATGGATTGCTTTGAAGATTGACGAAATGGTAGATATTGCATAAAAATACAGGAGTAAGATGGAAAGAAACGAAGACAAATTTCGACCAGACTAAACTTTATGAACTAATAAAACGAGGAAACACAAATTAGACGACGAAAATAGATATAGTTAGGCTCGCATAAAGAAACATCCATTCCATAATGCCGACATAGAATGTGGAAAATGTTGAATGAGGAAAGGCGTGAAATCTCGGACGAGGAAAAAACCCTGCAGTTTCACTTCGGGAACTAAACAATACTCGAGTTGCCAAAGAAACACGAGATTAGTTTAACACACAGCATCCAGAATATTTACCTCAAGCAATCGTCATTTTACCACAATCCTTAAAACACGTCGTGACGTGGATATTTCAACAGCAATAGAATTTAGGCAACAAAAGAGCATTCACAGCTTATACTACGCTAATACTTAGCCTCGAGACCGCGATACCGAAGAATAGATAAACATAGAAAATTTGCAGATTCAAACGAGCGACAATTAACATTTCAAACATACATGAAATTGTCATGGTATTAAGTTACATTGACAGTAAACACAGATTTGAGCATAGTTACAAAAATCATGACCAGCCGACAATTTGAAAAAATATAGTAAAAGACAAATTCCGAAAAAACAAGACATCTTGAGATTGCAAAAAAATATGAATCAAAACAAGACGAGAAGTGGACTGGAAATTTTCGACATTATTTCAAAGTCATCTTCAGACAGAATGAAAGTCGAAAATTTAAAGTTCCTTCTCGTCTTGTTTTGATTCATATTTTGCAATCTCAAGATGTCTTGTTTTTTTCGGAATTTGTTTTACGAGCATAGTTACGGTAGAGCAAAAAGTTTATCCTGTAGCTAATTGTCTTTCCTGTATGATTTGCCGTAACTAAAATGAATTTTATGCAAACGGACGTCTGTGATAGTAAAATTGAGGTTTCAAATAAACGCATATTGCGATTCAGGACAGGAAGCGAAAATTTTGTTCATTTGAAGTACGCAGGAACGACCAATATGTACAAACAAATGTACATTCGAATTGCACAAAGAAAAGAGAATCGTAACGAGACAATTTACAGATGCCGACTCAAAATTTCCCACAAAGTTCTATCTCGTGAGATACCTACGTCTTTAACATTTAACGACGTAATGTTTGTTACTGAAATTTACTCTTCCAATAAATTGAGAGGTTCTGACAAAGTGGGGAGTGAGAGGGGGGCAAAGTGATGGGGGGAGAAAGTGAGGGGGGAGAGCGGCAAGGAAGGAACGAATGCGAGAGATAAGCATAATAAAAAATGTACATTTGTGAGGAAAAATGTATAGGAGCAAAAGTGGAATGCAAAGGTTTTCACAAATCAACATGGCTTAAATACTCCAAGCCATTGTTTAATTGGTTTACCAGGTTGATTACTTCGAATTAGCTAGAAATGCATTGCAACAATGACGAAGGTCCAAAATTTTTGGATGATTGCAGCAATGTCACAGAACAATGACAAATTAAAATAAACACTGAGACCACAGAGCTGGGAGGAGGGTCAAAGTAGCCATACCCCCTTTCATCTCTTTTTCCATGGTGAAGCAATTTATTGAGTGTAATATTCAGCATTACATATCTAGAGTTCTAAGTTCATTTTTTTAAGCAGGATTCACTGCCACTGAAACACAATGGCATTTGTCTATTGGGTTTAAATTTATAATGCTCCAATTTCCTTAATCACATACCTCAGATTCACAATCATGACTGCTGCGAGAGGTGAAATCTGCGAAACAAAAAAAACGAATTTAGCATTAAACATGAACACAAAAACAATGTAAACAACGAAATTTACCTTTCAATTTCTTTAACTTTCTATACTTGGATTTTTTTGGCCATCTTTGCCATCCCATTGATGCTTTTAGTCGTTGCCTGCTATGCCTAGACCTTGACATGCTTTTATCACCTTCCTGAAGAGTACGAGTTAAGATTTCCTTAGAAAAACGCTTTTTTGCATCGTTTCTCTTGGGTCCCAAAGTTTTATCCTCCATTCTTATAACTTTCCACGATTTCAAAATTTAATCTTTACAATGGCCATGTTTTTGAACAAGGACACAACTTTCTTTGTTGATAACTTTTTTGCGCATGCTGCAAAAATTAGCCTTTCTAAAGATTGAACAAGAAAGACAGAGAGAGAGATACATAAATCAGAAGATGTTTGCATTTCAATTTTGCCGATGGATTATTGTCGAAACGAAAGCTATATTTTATTTCTAAGGATGTGCTAATAGGTGCAAATCATTCATACATGATTAATCCTAACATATATTTGCTTTACTACTGTATTTTGGGCTTTTTAACTGATACAAGAGACTTCTATAATATAATTTTTTCTTTGTTTACTTAATAGTGAACTGCGAAACATGACAACAGTACGAGAAAAAAATTTCTTACTTTGAAAGCAACACATAATGCTAATTACCTCATAAAGTTGTGAGCAACCCGGAAAAGGATTAACGGAGTTGAGGCAGCAAACTCATTAACTCCAACGCATTTTAGTAGTTAACTATTGTTCAATATTCTAAAAAGGGACTTGTTAAACTTCGGCCATGTTGAATTGTACCGCGGAATTCCAACTGATTTCCATCCGCTAAACTATCACATTCATTTATCAAATACTACATTGCAAATACTCTTTTTTCATGAACTTATGCACGGTTTTACTTTATTTCATTGCGTAAAAAATTAAAAACTATATTCGTACAATGCATTGAAAATCACTTAAAATCAATTGAGGAAGTTCTACAAGCCCTAACGTCAAAAATTACAGTTTCTCATTTATTGACATGATTCACTAACTCTTTCTCAAGCTGATGCATCACAATCTACTAAAAGAAAATACTTTGTAAAAAGATCGAATTCTAAATTTCATGGAAATTTTAGCCAGATCTTCTGTCCATACAACCAACTGTCCATCTTAAACGATGTCAGCAAACACTGTGTCTGAACGACTTCATAAGTTCTGCAAGGCAGTTGGGATTATTATACGGGCGTAAAAATGGATGTTGAAGCAGGTCGAGAGCACCACTTCGTTGCTGAGGACTATGGATCAGAGCTTTGTCAATGAAAGACTTCAATCGAGGTGAAAGCTAGAAAAATTGAAAACATCACAGGTTAGCTACAAATCAATTGGTTGGAGCTGGCTGAGGGACCAGTTTTACCTTTGCAGGATTTTTCACTGTGGGTGGATTGAGATCCCTGATTTTCCTCATTGCCTGTAAAGGTGGCTCATTGAAATATGGTGGCTCCCCGTCTATCATCTCAATAACCATAACACCAATTGACCAAATATCAGACTGTCAAAAATATCACAAAATGGTTTAGTTTGCCATTTATGGCACCGATAAGCTGGATTATGCCCCCACCTCAGTTCCATAAGGCTGTCTTGCTATGATTTCTGGTGCCATCCAATATGGAGTGCCTACGAGAGATCTCCTCTTTGGGACATCTTGTGTGACTTGGGCACAAAAACCAAAGTCTGATATCTTGACCTATAAAATAAATCTGGTAAAAAATCAAATAAAATCCTCACATTGTAGTTCTGCAGGACGACTAGCAGCTCAAAACTTGCCATTACAAAACGTTCCCTAAAGCAAACATTGCAAAATGAGTTTTTCCATATACCTGACCAGAAGTTGTCAAGAGTATACTGTCGCTCTTGATGTCACGATGAAGCACACCTTGAGAATGAAGGAAAGCCAATGCTTTCAAACAGGACTTTGTGATGTGTGCAATTTGTTCTTCTGATAAACTAAACACAACATTGATTGCTTGTATAAGTACGTAAACAATGGTGGACTAAATTGCAAGGGAAGGATCATAGATGAAAAGGGATCTGAGTAAATTGGAAGAATAGTTAGGGAAGGGTTAGGGGCATATATGATAAGGGGTCCGGGAAAGTGGAAGAATTGGTAGGGGAAGAATATAATTATGTGGTGGTTGGGTAAAGGATGATTGAGGAAATGTGGGGAAAAGTGGATGAAAAAATGATGGAAAAGATGAAAAGTAGAAAGCAAGAGGAAGGAATGCAAGAAAAGAATTGCAAGGAAGATAAAAAGGCAGAGGAAAGGATAAAGCAAATGAAAAATGAAAGGGAATCGTGGTAGGAAAATGGCGGCAAATAAATGGTTGGGGGGAAGGGATAGGACAGGGCAGTTGATAGTCTGCAACAAAATATAGAATCATACCAAATACTACACTATACCTAGCATTTGTTACGATATCCGTGAGGGATCCACCTTCAAGAAATTCCATCACGACCCACAGCTCATTCTCAATAAGATAACTTCCGTACATTTCAACAATGTTTGGGTGATGATAATCTCGCATAATCACAACCTAAGAACAACAGACACTTTCAACAATTATCGACAATTATCAACAATTATCAACGCTTGTATGTTGCAATAAAAATTTCATCATAAAGTAGGTTTTCGTGCACAAATTAGGGACCAGAATAAATACCAACTAAAAGTCTAACAGGAGCTTGTAATACATAAGTTATTTAAGATTGGAGAGGATCGGAAAAAAGCAGGGAAGTCTAGGGAACTTGACCAGGTTAACAGCTGGTTTCATCGTCAATTATAACCTCAAAATATTTACAGGTTCCTGCCGAGTTCAATCAAAGATATTTCCCTTTTGCAAATGTTAAAGACAAAAACAAGCGATCCTTCGGCGTTTGAACTATGAACTACATAAAGTATAACATCAGACCTCGTTAAATAGGAGTTCTCTACGTTGCTGCCTTCTTAAATCCATCTTTTTTACTGCAACCTGACGCCCGGTTAGTTTTTCCGTTGCGATGCAGACAACACCTGTTGAACCTTCGCCTATTTTCACAAATCTGTCGAAGATTTCGCGTGGATTTTCAGGTTTAACGACACTTTTCAGTGCCTGTCTAAACTGTTCGTGTGTCACAGGCTCGTCTGAATACATCAATCTGGATTTTGATGAATTCTGATCATTGTTGCTTCGTCGAGCGCCATTATCGGGCGCTCTGAAACTACTTGAAGTATTCTGCTCTTGATTTTGCGATCTAGTTGACGAAGCCGACCTGTCATCATTTTGACTTCTCTTAGAGTCCCTCGAACTGGCCCCGTTAGTCGTTCCTCGCTTCTTTAATATGCTTTTAGGAGCTTCCTTCGTGGCTTGTTGATTATCTGTTGCAGCTTCGCTTCCTGGTGACCTGTTACCGTTACCTTTTGGCGATCTTGGACTGTTAGGAAGGTCACCATCGCGATTTTTAAACGATCCCCTTAAGGAATTCGATCGTGAAACGTTGATAGCTTGATTCTGCGCTTTGTTTACATCAAAATCTTCGTCGAAGAATTGGGTAATCCTGTTCGGTTCTGATGTATCTGTGATTGATTCCGGATCAACGATCGGTCTTGGTCTGCCTTCGTTATTTATTAATTGCTCCCATTGAGGTGGTAAACCGACAAATTTCCCCGTTTTCGCGTCAAAACCAGCGTGGACTCGATGCTCGAAGTCTGAAGGCTTCGAAATGGGCGGTCGCCTTCTTCGTTTAACAGAGAAAACGCGCTTCAGCATCATGTACCGGCGTTTAAACGTCAAACTTAAAGCAAAGAAGAAACGTAGAAGCCTTCTGGGTGTTCATGAAGATATCAAACGACTTTCTAGACTAAACATCAGCCTGTATTTTTCCCTTTATCTGCGGAATTCTTCGCTTGGAATTTTCTGGGGATCCACTATTACAGTGGTTGCTAAGTAGGCTGGGTACGACCCACTGATCTTGACTGTATAAGGTGATAAACTGGATAGAGACGACGAAGGAGGCAAGTACCATCGGCGAAAGGTTCCTTTGTCAAAAGTTAATAACGGAAGTACTTGAAGAACATCACGAGGTCATTACCTCATATTCAGCATTTGTGCATTTTCCTAGACATCAATTGTCACAATTTTCAATCTATCGAGTAATTCAAGCCGTTAGGCAAGATGTGCAAAATTCGCTTTATCAATTTATCAGAACATGGCCAAAGCCACTCGGCCAATCTCAGCGTCCATTCTATGGCTCAATATGTCTCAAATATTGGATTTAAAGCTCAAGAAAATGCGGAGATGGAGTGAAAACAATGGAATACAATAGCCCATTAGTAATCTTTATATAGAGATGGAACAATTGTCGACAAGTCGTAAATGTATGATCTCCTTGCCAAAGTAAAGATTAAACCATACAAAATAAGGTTGTCAAAAAGCGTGGGTTCAATAGTTTATGATCATGCGTAAAAAAATAACAATTGGTTGTCGCAGTCTCTGAATTATATTTTCATCGTTCGTTTTGATGAATCGTTTCATCAGAATTTGGTCAAATATCGGCCGAAGTGTCATAAGACGAAACTATCCGTTACGGCTGTAACCAGCAAGGGGAAGAACAGAAGAGCTTTTTTGGATAAGAACTGTATGAAAAAAATATATATCTTTTCACGAAATAATATTACTGTCTTTATATAAATCGTAATGTACACATCAAGAATAATTTTCAAATGGTTTAAAAAGACATTACTCGAATACACGATCGAGACAAACGACCAGTGCACTTTGAAAATTCATGACGTGCTGACAATCTGGCTAGATGGAAAATACGATCCTTAAAATACGCCAGACTCTGTGCAAATAAAACTAGCAGTAAGCTTCATCCACAAAAGATTAAAGAAATTACAAATAATATATTACACATGATCCAGAGAAAGATACCTCTCGTAGATAATCATGAGATAAATGGTGTAAAGGTTTTTCACTAGTAACGTCTAGCTTGATACTGTCCGTAAGATGGTTGTTGACCATAGGGTTGTTGGTAATAGCCCTGTGCTGAAGCTTGCTGTTGATAATAATAAGCTTGTTGTGGTTGCTGGTAGCCGGGTGCTGCAGGATATGCGGGCCTGGTCTGCTGGTAAGGATTGGCGTATGGTGAATAGACTGGTGGTTGGGCATAGCTGAAACATGATTATAAGTTATAGAACAGTTTGGACTGAGTTTGAAAGAATAAAGTTTACGAAAGCTATAAACGACACTTTCACTCGTGCAGGTTTATCTTAGCAATTTTTTTGTTCAAGTGCACGGCCTTCTCGGTAGCGTAGCCAGCCAGCAAGTTTTGCTTCTACTAGGCAAAAATTTCATATCAAATTATCGTTTTTACAATGATTGCACATAGAGAACTCAACATGGCGGGACCAAATTTGCGGATGGCTACGCCACTTGGCTGATTGGAAGATCACTTTCATTTTTTTAAATATTTGTAATTTTTTGGTAATGCATGTTGAAGTTAACACACTAACCTGTATTGAGGTGATTGCGAGTATGCAGAAGCGTATCGTTGCTGAGATTGCTGCATTTGATACGGACTGTAGTTCTTTTGATAGCCGCCGCTATTACGGTTCCCACTATGTCGATTACCACCGCTATTTTTGTTGTAGCCTCCACTTCCCCCACCTTTGTTGTGACCGTAATTCGAATACTTATGCCCGCTGCTACGCCGGTCGTGTGAGCCGCCATGTTGTCGACTGTAATTGGAGTCTCCGCGCCCCCCGGGATGTCTATCACGATGGTGACTCCCTCCGCGGGGAGAGAAATCGTTGTCCCTCCTGTATGGATGATACCGTCCACCGCCGCCTTTGTGATGATAATCGTCCCTACGGCGATTGTTGTAACGATTGTGAGAAGATCGCGCAAGTTTTCTGTACTTGACCACGATCTTTTGTGATTCCTCTTCATTTTCTTCATGTACTTGACTTCATTGAACAGCAGTCCCACGCTGGGGAGAGTGAAGTTGGCTGGGAAAAGAGAAATTCTTCAACATTCGTGGTCGGGTTACTTTTATCGAACATTGCATCTTCGTGCTCGATGCAATACGCAAAATTGAACGCTCAAAAAAAGTGAACAAAAATGCGCGAGCTATATTGATGAGCACTGCTGCTATTCGATTGTAATAATCTTAAGTTTGATTTTTATTTTGTTTCTCGCTCGAAAAGTTATCGCAAAATCATGGTTCAAGTCAAAGATGAAAAAATTATTCAAGCGTATTTGCTACTTCGTCCATCCTCGGGAGAAGAATGCAAAATCAAATGAAGGAGGAGCAGACATAAATTTAGGCAACTTAAGTAATGTACCTTTCATATCGTTGAGGGCAAAATCGGGAACTTCAAAACCTTTCTTGTCCTTTTTATCTTTCGTTCTCTTCTCCAGTTCCTCGGGTTTGGGGCAAACGACAATAGCAACACGTTTGAAGTCCGAAAAAGATTCCATTTTTCGCTTTTGAGCATTGGGATGCACATTTGTCTAGAGATAAGAACAATATCTAAGATATAGTTGCTATTCTTTAACCAAGAAATCTGGAATCCATCAATCCGACTTTGTCAATACGCAATAAACTCGATCCAAGCCTTCATCCCTCGACTAACACTTAAAGTGCCAGTCGAGGGAAAATTTTTCAACTTGAATTATGTTTGAAATGACTAGAACTTTTGAAAAGACAGTTTACTTTCTAAAACACTTAATGCATATCCCTTTTCATTCTCTTGATTTTGACGTTTTTGTTATTTCCAATTTATACAACTTGTGACGTCATGTTACATGATGAGTTCCCACAATGTTTCAAATACTCTTTAGATTCCTGACAACTTGAGGTTGATACTAGTAGCCAGCATTTTATACCATTAACTCCTTCACAATGTAGAAAACTCCGTCCTGAATTAAAGTATAGGTAAATATACCTAATAATTTCAGTTCATTATACAATGTGACGCCACAAGTAGTATACATTGAAAATAACAAAAACGTCAAAATCAAGAGAATAAAAAGAGATATGCATTAACTGTTTTAGAAAGTAAACTGTCAATTCAAAAGTTCTAGTCATTTGGAACATAATTCATGTTGCAAAATTTTGAAATAAAATAAAGAGATAAATCACACAAAGAGATAAATCACACAAAGAGATAAATCGCACAAAGCAAAAACCTCAATATCTCAAGAATTAAAAGTGATATGCATAAACATGGTTTAGAATGTCCATTGTCATTTTGAAAGATCTCTTCAATAGAATTATTACTCAGATAGCAAAATATTCGTTTCGTTGGCACTTTAACAAATCCAATAAATTCTCCAATATAAAGAACAAACCTTGATGTTGTAACATTACACGAAACAAAAACTGTTTTACCTGATCCAATATATAATTCCGTTTCTTTATCGGAGCAATCTCGAATATCCTTCTCAAACATCTCGTGGCATTTTCCATCAATTTGTCGTAGTTTTCAGATGATCTCTTTCGTTCCTCTCCGTTTACCTAAACAACGTGCGAGTCAAGTCCAGATACTCTTCACAAGTTACGACTTTTATGGTCCAGTGGTGGATCGAGCGAGGATTTTTAGGGGGTGGGGTGCTTGGCTTAGTGATTAGCTAAAGTTCAGTGATTAGAAACCAATTATTCTCCAGATACTGTTCACATGTTACGACTATTATGGTCCAGTGGTGGATCGAGCGAGGTTTTTAGGGGGGGTGGGTGCTTGGCTTAGTGATTAGCTAAAGTTCAGCGGTTAGAAACAAGTTATTCTCCAGATACTGTTCACAAGTTACGACTATTATGGTCCAGTGGTGGATCGAGCGAGGTTTTTAGGGGGGGTGGGTGCTTGGCTTAGTGATTAGCTAAAGTTCAGCGGTTAGAAACAAGTTATTCTCCAGATACTGTTCACAAGTTACGACTATTATGGTCCAGTGGTGGATCGAGCGAGGATTTTTAGGGGGGGGGGTGCTTGGCTTAGTGATTAGCTAAAGTTCGGCGGTTAGAAACCAATTGTACACATTAAAAATGGAAACTAGTTATCTTTTTGGCCAGCAAAACAAGTATCATTGACAGTCAATAAACTTTAATGATACAGCCAGTTAAAGCTTTTGCCATTGAAAGTATGAAGGGTTTTAATTTTATTTTTCGCAATTTGCACCCCTCTATACACCCCTGTTGACCCTTGCCTACAATGGTGAGCACACTCCTTAAAATCCACCACTATCATGATCTTTTCCTAATAATATTTACACTCAAAACCCCGCACACGCGCTAAAAACACAGCAGGAAACATTGAATGCAAGAAGGTGTTCAAAAGTGGGGCATGTACTACTTTCATTGATTAAAAACAACACCTATTTTCTCAATGACTGACTAAGAGTTTATCAATCTAGTTGAACGTGGAAAACAGGAAAACCAAAGCAGGATCGTTACACTAACAGTTCTTTCACGGCTGTAAATCAATCAGATTAACGACAACATTCCTACCCTCATTTTTGCCATCACGCTCGTGGTACCGATGATGTTGTAATTCTTCTCTTTCTCTTCTTCGACATGCTTGTTAACCCAAGTTGTCTTTCCAGAAGCTGGCAGACCAACCATCATCAACACCTTTGTGCAAAATGAATAAAGTTCTTTAATATCGTCAGTTTATTTATGGTATTAATAACATACGGATCAAAGACCCTTCGCTTTACACACGCATTACATATAAATGAAAGAATATCGAAGAATCGCAGTTGATAAATAACGAACAATAAAAATAGCTGGGGGTGTACACAGCAATATAGATAACATGAGACAAACCGAGTAGCGTGAATATAAAAAGCAAATTTGGATATGTATCATAAATAAGATACAACTCCATTCCCTGTTATCCAAACTATACCTCGCAATCCTTTTTTTCCTTTGGACCACGTGGTCCTTCAACAAGATCACACTTATCCATTTGTTCTATCCAAGTGTATCCTTCCTTGCAAGGGAACCATGCCTCTTCCTGTATTGATTGAAGGCGATAAAAGGATAAAAGGCAACGTTTCACAAATTGGGACTTTGTAGAAGTTAGATGAACACATGGTACATGTATTTTCACAAGAAGTAAATGCACCATTTTCATGTTTTAACTCAGTAGCTGTTTGGCATGAGTGTATAATACTCAATGCTGCATTGTCATACACTTTTGGAAAGAGCACTAGGATAAAAAATAATAAAATAGAGACTTTGTCGTGGTGACAAATCTGAAAATAGTTCTAAAGATAGCAAATACCATAGTGAATGGTAAAAGTAATATAATAAGTTAATAGTTTTTAAAAGAACTGTTTTAAGTAAAGAGCACTAATTGGTCTTCAAGGAACAACGAATTATCAACAAGGGCAAACTTAGAAGAAGCCTAACTTAGTTTCTCTGTATTCGTGTTTTCATGGGTGAAAAAGCATCACAAATATTCCTGGAATAATTTTTCCCAGTTTAACAAAACATCAATCGAAATTCAATCCATTACAACGTCAGTGATCTGTTTGGACATTGGACACTATCCTTCGAGGAATATCATTACCCATAACCCTCTTGGAATACCACTATCCTCGTGGAATATCATTACCCCTATCCCTCTTGGAATACCACTATCCTTCGTGGAATATCATAACCCCTAACCCTCTTGGAATACCACTATCCTTCGTGGAATATCATAACCCCTAACCCTCTTGGAATACCACTATCCTTCGTGGAATATCATAACCCCTAACCCTCTTGGAATACCACTATCCTTCGTGGACTATCATTATCCCTCTTGAAATACTATTATCATTCGTGAAATACCACTATCCTTCGTGAGATACGACTATCCCTTCTGGAATACCACTTAAACATCTATGCAATTGTAAAAAACAATAAACTAAAATAATCCAACACACCTGCGCACCACAATTGATCTTGCATTCCGTATTCTTGACCAGAATATGTGGGTATAACACAGGTACGTCCACCTTCGAGAAAGTGAATGCCACACCAAGATCTTCGCCATTCTTTGTGTAACTTATGCTGGCCTCCTCGCTATCCAAGTCCTGTTCAAATTACAACACACAAAAAATAGTTCCAACACCTGTTCCAACATACAAATGATGCTCGATTGACCGCTTTGATTGTAGATGTAACAATGACGAACGAAAAATTGCGCATTTTTAGTAATGAATCACTTTTAAGAGGGGTTCGAACAAACGTACAAACGAGACGGTTAACCTCAATAACAAGTTAAACAGTGTGAAACAGTAACCTTAAGATACCAAAGCACATAGGTTCGGTAGTAATGGATGTATTTATAAACGGTATTCCTCGTCAAGAAGTAAAAAGCCCGAATATTTTATAAAATCACAATGGCCTAATTAAGTTCAAAGATTAAACATGTAGTATTCATAAAAATACTAAAAAATCTATAAAAACACAGCTTTCACGGCACCCAGAGATACTTTTTCTCCATCCAAGTTCATAATAACAAAAAAATCTATATAAAGAGAATCTAAAAAAGAAGAAACAAACTTCGTGCGAAAGTCAAATGCCTGGTTATATTAAATTCCACAAAAGAACGATCATTACGTACATGTTCGTAAATACAACATCGGCGATGAAAAATTTAAAGTCATACTTACAGACAGCTTCATACCTTAACAAATATAAAATAGAAATACAAATTTCTATCACCAAGCAAACAGCATTTGTTAAACTCGAAACAATGCGTGCGAAACCTTTCCGCGAAATAAATAACAAAGACTACGAACGCCTACTTTCAAAACGACAATTTCAAAGAAACATTTGTTCGAACCCTCGCAGAAACGTGTTTGAAAAGCGAAAATATCACTTTTTACGAATTCATTGCTACAACCTGACAATCACCAGCGATAACCGAACCTTATCCTAAATACAAACTACCCCTGGGGTGTTTACATCCGCTGACTAAACTCGAGATCATGCAAATGAATTACATAAAGTAACATGATATATAATGCAACCGATTAAAATACTCGGTGTTTTTTTCATATACACATATACTTGTTTTCCATGACTGTTCTTCTTTTCAAGAACTCACCACGTAACATCCAATAACATCCCCTTGCGTATAGCTTGCTCCATACTCGGAGAATTCATTTGAACTACATGACTTTGCTGTATTCTCAAAGCCATAAGATAAACCCTCTTCACCTATAAAGATTATTCAAGAGAAGCCACTGCCAGTATCCGTGTATGCAGTTTATATACTCAAGTCCGATTGCTGCAGCAGTTTTTTGTTGCGCTCTTTCAGTTACTTGCCAATTGCAATTACCCCTGCTACCCCCAGCCATCAAGTTACCCCGCCCACCCTGCTCCTCCTTCGACCCGCAACCATCCCTTACCTAACTGCAAGCCAGTCTGCGGTGCAGACCATCCGATGCGTACACCATTTTTCGGCACTTCCGAATCGGGCAAATCATTCTCTTCATTTTTAATAACCTGAAATGTGATGATTAATACATTCAAATGTTTAGCAGGAAAAGAGAAAATGCAAATGATGACTAAAACAACTATTTGTCAATTCTTTGGTACATTGACTATATCCAAGTTGATGCAGGATTCAAATTAAGCTGTTGAAAAAGCAGTGCTAATAATGTCGCTAATAACCACCCTCTTTACGGAACTTTCAAGATTTATATTTAATGATTCATAAAACATTTATACTTCATCATTCAAATAAAACACTTATGTCCATTTGTTGCAACCTTACACAACTTTAAACACGTTGAAAAATACCATTTATAAAGCGTGAATCAACACTTAACAACAGTTGAAAGTGCCATCCGAAACTAAGCACTCCCCATAGGTAGCCTCTCGTTGGGAGACTACGTATATGGTTCTTTGGTAGAAACTTGAATGTAACAACATACGACTCTGACAATTCAGAGGAGGTATTGAAAAGTCGTTGTCTCAAACATGTTTATATCCATGCTAGGTGATGTTCGAATGCCAAGTTTTAGCATTTTTCACAAAGTGCAAAACTTTACCTTTAAATGCCAATTAATTCCAAGGATTGCACAGTATTTTCAATAAAAAGTTTGAAATAATAGCCAAATAAGAACAGTACAGAATGATACAGCAAACTGATTACAAAATAAAATTCAAGACCTTGTCAAGCTAGTATAAAAAGCAAGAATACAAATTTTAAGGCAAAAACAAAGCTGCCAGCTCTCTTGTACTTATGTTTGAGCAAAGTATTTCCAAAATTTTGACTTTCCTTTTCCTATATATGTGCCAGAGCAACTTCTCTTGGAAAAATTGTGCAGATGCTTAGCAAATTGTGAATTTCAAGCCACTAATAGATTGAATTATAAATTCTCTGAGGTAAGTTTTATGTTTATCAGGCTTTCCCAAGTATCCACTAGTATCCACATCGATACCAGGGTTTTCAAAATTGCTATCCTTCATGATAATTGTGTATCCCAAGTATGGATACATATACGTAACAAGTTGTCTTTTCTTATCGGAGAATCAGTTACATAAAACATAACCTGTGGCTTACTCTTATTACTTTATGATTAATGTAGAAGTTCCTCTCGGAATCCTGAAAGGAATTTATTGTCTGCAATTTATCGCTAACAGAAATGTTGCTTAAGTACTAAAGTTAATCATTTATCAGTTTCTAATGGAGACCTACTGCATTAGAGCACTGTTTGTTGATTCAAAATTAGAGAAAAATAATAAGCCTGGGAACTAGTCATCCTTTCCAGTGTTGGCTCTACTGTCCCTTTTTTGAAAAATATGTTGTCCCATCGAGATTCAAGTGAAACTAGGTATCAAAATCAAAATTTCACTCTCCTGTGGTTACCAAAATACTGCAAATTTCAGACCCTGTTTAGGAACTTTCATGAAAGTCAAAAAAATCATTTTCGCAATGCGCACATATTAACTACGTCACACACCTTGCATTCGAATCCAACTTTACCCTTCCTTGCTCCCCATGTCATCTTGGTTCCAGCCCAAATAAACGAAAAACCATCATCTTTAGGACGCTTGCAGTCAAACCGTCTGGAGAAATCTTCACAAACAGATCAGAAATATCTGCAAAGACAAGATATTTCAATAAAAAAACATTGAACAACTTTAAAGTCAGTGAAATAACTTCTTTAGATGGTTTGTCAAATAAGTGTGGAGTCATCTATGTTTGATTCCAAAGAGGCCGATGAAAACAAAATTTTCCTTCTATCGAGTATACCGTAATGTAAATGTTCTTAAATACAATTAACCTATCAAAAAAATTATTTACCTGACACTTACACTATAACAGTGTGAATAAACAAATGACAACGAATGGTTTAATAGAAAAGTAATTCAAAGTAATCTAGAGTTTTATGAATAAAGTAAATGGTTTGAACCTGGGAGTATTGTTACATGTTTGTACCGAGTTGTGGATTGTCCTGGCTAGTAGAGTTCTGAAAATGACTGTTGGTCTTGACTGATGTTTTGAAAAACTTAGAGGCCGTATCTTCAAAGTTCACTTCACTCTGAAGATGATGGCCGCTAAGCTTGTTTAAACGTCAATCTTCATCAACACCAACAGTTTCATGAATATTGAAGATAATACAAAAGAAAAAATTCTCAAGCATATACGTACATCGGCTTAGTACAACAGAAGAGTCATCCGTCTCATCCTTTTCTTCATCAACTTCCATAAAGGAGTCCCTGTAAAAGACAAACAATACAAACTTTGGCACATGCTGGGTTCTCCCTGTAAACGACAAACAATACAAACTTTGGCAGATGCAGGGTTCAAATTAGGAGGAAAAAATTGATTCACGACTTTTTAAAATGTGCATCTACTGAAATTTCTAAGTTTGCGTTCTGGCTATAACGTGGCTCATACACATGCCTATGTTTAAAATTTGCAAAACAGCAGTGGAAGTTATGGCAATAAAATTGTCCATTGTAAAGTGGATGTAACAATTTTAATATCGATCAACAAGCAAAACTAGATTTGAAAAAAATTTATTAGCTTTTGTCTCATAATATTTTTACCATGGTCTATATCCGCGTAACATTTATATTTAACTCAATAACATAACACACCCAAAAATGATATGTCGAATAGCAAATGTAAAAGCAATTAATGCTAACTTCTTCACAACAAAATCTTCAAAGTGTCTGTGTCACCTACACTAAATCTGGCTAAGTGTACTGTGCTACATTTATTGTACTGGTTATCGATATTTTTAATGGAGCATTTGCTACTGAACATGCAAACAAAGCATAAATGGCAGCCATAATGAATTACATTTTTAATAAATTTCCATTTAAAGAATGTCAAACGTTAGCTTTAACTGTATTTTTTGAAATTACGATTTGCAATTTATTTGAAGATGAACATTTCTGGAAAGTTCATGACATTATGAGGAACTAATATGAAAATTGACAGTGCTCAAGTAAGGTCAAATAATCAAACAAATTTATAGAAAATTTGAGAAATTTCATGCAATTCTAATCAATTAAATTCACAGCTTTTTCAAAATTCAATGCTCAAAAACAAATTCCGATAAAATCACACATTTCGAGAACAAATTTGATACTTTAAAGAAATGATTCAGTACATGGACACAATTGTACTTACATCATCTTGGCCTTCTTTGACGAAGGTTCTTCAGCATTTTCCTCCACGAGTTCTTTAGCCTTTTCTTCCACTTCCTTATTAACATGTTCTTCCATTGGCTGTTCAATTATTTGTTTGACATGTCCGTCATTGTCCTCTTTAACATGTTCTTTAACCTCTTCTTTCACTTTTTCAGCATGCTCTCCCACTTGCTGTTCATTGTGTTCTTTAACATCCAGTTTAACCTGTTCTTCACCTTCCAGTTTAGCCTGTTGCTCACCATCCAGTTTAACCTGTTCTTCACCTTCTTGTTTAGCCTGTTGCTCACCATCCAGTTTAACCTGTTCTTCACCTTCTTGTTTAGCCTGTTGCTCAACATCCAGTTTAACTTGTTCTTCACCTTCTTGTTTAGCCTGTTGCTCACCGTCCAGTTTAGCCTGTTTTTCATCTGGCTCTTTTTTTATCCTCCCAGTTTCTTCTTCAGTCATATCTAAAGATTTCTCAGTCTGTGCAATATCCATTTCTACCAAAGCGAAAAACATAAAATCAATCGTAAAACGTCACACGCAAAATGGCAAATAACAACACAAAAACAAATTTTAAAAGTCAAGTGCAGCACAACAAATGATTTAACAATACAGCTATATACTTGCACTATTCAAAAGCAACATGACAATCATCTTTCTAACTGTCACGAAGGAAAATATCCTTTGAAAAGGACGTAAAGGGGAAAAAATGATAGTCACGTGTCACGTATCCCTGGGAAAATTACTAACGCTGAAACTCGTTATTTCCATTGCGGAATATTTAATTCAAGTACTTTGAAAATCAAGGATAGCTGTAAACGAACCTTTAGTTTGCGTTAAACTCGCTGGTTCTTCTTCCTCTTGCTTTATTTTTATATTCTCAGCAAGCTCAAGGGAGTCCTTTTCCTCCATGGTTTCCACCTTGACAGCAATGTTTTCTTTAACAGAATCACTCGTAATTCCTACCGTTTCTGGCGCAGAATCATCCCCCATGTCCTCGGTTTCTTCTTTCTTGATGAGAGCCTCACTCGGTTTCTCTTCAATTTGCTTATCCGAAGTATCATCAACTTCCATCGATTGTTGACTTTGTTCATCCCTTCCAACAGGTTCTTGCTTAACAGAAACCTCTTCTAAGGATTGCTGTTTTTTCTCAATGCCGTTACTCTCCACAGGCGTGGCATCATCCGAAGAAGCTTCTTCCGTACTTAGCAATGGCTCATTCTTCAAATGCGTCTCCATTTGGGCCTCTTGCTTTTCTTCATCTAAAGCGGCAGTCAGCCGGTCAACGAGGGCAGGTTTCAAACCCTTCGTGTCGAGACCACGCTTCGCAAGTTGACTGCGAAGATCTACGACTTTCATCTTCTTTACGGTGGATGCAGTCAACTGCATTGTTAATGAATGATATCTCGATCCTTTTGGGAATTGAAAAAGGTTAAAAATCGTCTTTTCTTCCAATAAAATTCTCGTTTTATAACAACGCAACGAAACTCATGGAATGAAATGGACCAAACATACAATTTAACGCCCGCAATGCTTGCTGGGATGCACAAATAAACCTGAAGTTGCGGGCGGATCATTGACGGTATTGGAGAATGGTTTGAAGAATGATTCTACAGTACAAAATATGTTTTAGAAAAGTGGTTCCTGTGTTTACCATTAATAAATTTAATACAAGACTAATCGTGGTAAAGTTTGTATATTTATTGAGAATGCCCGCACACCTTTAGCCAGCCCATTCCACAAGTCACGAAGATGAGGAAATCTGGCTTTGTGTAGTGTTTAGGGTGGGCAACACGCCACCCGATTTTATCGTCGTGTTGCTAATTTACTATGAATTAAATATTTACTTTGCAAGCATAATCTGAAAATAAGAACCGAGGATATAGTTGAGAAATTCAACGTCAAAACGTTTATTCCAAACAGCAACGCTTTCACTTTTTCTCTTGGTGAGGAAAATTCCGATCCTCGTAAAACAGCTACCATCGTGTCATGAACGAATCACTGCAAAAATATTTGAAATAAATGATAATGAATGGCATTTATAATGTCTAACATTGCTCAACCTTGTTAAACGTTGTTCAACATTGTTAAACGTTGTTCAACATTGTTTGACGTTGTTTAGCCTTGTTAAACGTTGTTTAGCCTTGTTAAACGTTGTTCAACCTTGTTAAACGTTGTTTAGCCTTGTTAAACGTTGTTCAACATTGTTAAACGTTGTTTAGCCTTGTTAAACGTTGTTCAACCTTGTTAAACGTTGTTTAGCCTTGTTAAACGTTGTTCAACATTGTTAAACGTTGTTTAGCCTTGTTAAACGTTGTTCAACATTGTTAAACGTTGTTTAGCCTTGTTAAACGTTGTTTAGCCTTGTTAAACGTTGTTCAACCTTGTTAAACGTTGTTTAGCCTTGTTAAACGTTGTTCAACATTGTTTGACGTTGTTTAGCCTTGTTTAACGTTGTTCAACCTTGTTAAACGTTGTTTAGCCTTGTAAACGTTGTTTAGCCTTGTTAAACGTTGTTCAACCTTGTTAAACGTTGTTTAGCCTTGTTAAACGTTGTTCAACCTTGTTAAATGTTGTTTAGCCTTGTTAAACGTTGTTCAACATTGTTAAACGTTGTTCAACATTGTTTGACGTTGTTTAACCTTGTTAAACGTTGTTTAGCCTTGTTAAACGTTGTTTAGCCTTGTTAAACGTTGTTTAGCCTTGTTAAACGTTGTTCAACATTGTTTGACGTTGTTCAATCCAAATCAATATTGAATCTTCATACCTACCTATAAGTAATGTATCGATTCCATTTACTTGTGATTTCTATCCTTCCTGATCCCCCGAAAACTCTTAATGATCTCACTTTCGCTTTCGAATACAGATACGAAGGAATCTCAAAGCACAAACTGTAAAAACACGTGAATTTCAATAAGGAAGATGACCATGGATGAAAACGGTCGGGATAATCAAATTTTTTCCCTTTGTTACACTAACTTTACTGATTTCAATTCACGATTCCAGTCGAAATTCTCCTCAAATTCTCCATGCAGCTGCAACAAAATCCAGAAATGCATTTTCAAATCATTTTTGAAATCTCAAGCAACTTGAGATGAAGTCCACCTTAAGAAGGGCCCTCATAGTCGAACCACCTTGACATTGCGATATGCGCCAAATCGCAACTCCAGTTTCCTTTGAAAACTCAACATCTTGACCCGGACATGACACGCTAAAAATAAAATTTCTTTGTATCTATGCGTTATAATCATGATACAAAGACGTAGAGAAAGGGAGACAGTCAATTACAAGTCAAACAACAGCTAATCAAGTTGCAACTGTAAACATCTTTAGAGAGTGTGAGCTAATGCTGGATGGCAAAGTTTATAGTACGCAAAAGCACACCTTTCCGTATCTCGAGGAGTTGAAAAGTGAACTTCAATATGGTGAGCGTATCTGACGAATTAAAATAATATAAACATCAAAGTTAAAGACGAAGACATGTGCGCGTGTAACAGATCAATGGATGCAACATAAAGAGACTTAAACAACGGGCGAATCGCTTCGTAAAATTCATTGAACGCATCTCATTTTTAGACTTACTTTTCAGAAGAAATACTGCATCGTATTTGTAAACATACGCTCTTAATTCTAAGAAAGAAAGTGCAAATTTAGTTACAGCTATTTGATTAAGACAAAAGAACAGCTACTTTCATTTATACTTTCATTTATATCATACAGAAAATCTTTGTCTGCAACAGTTGAGGTCAATTGCTTTAGCATCCTCTTGGATAACAACTTTTCAGATTATTTTTAAAAATTTCTTAAAAAGCAAAAGGCTACGTACATAACAAAGCGAGCAATCACGAGTATAAATGTTATTTCAACGATAAGAAAGTTTCGGCAAAGAAAATAATGCAAACGCTTTTTTACTGTGCTTGAAAAAATTACCATTCGCTGATGTAAGTGCAACCGGTTTATTAGCAACACTATTGACTTCAAGACTACAAGAAATTGTATGAATTATCGAAGTCAAAAACTAGCTAAAGTAAAATTACCTTGAAGAATCAGAATCCTCAGGAATCACTTTCACATTAAAAGGAAAACTTTCAACACTAGCGTTACCAGACATTCTGTAATTCATTACCCTTAACTGAAAACATTGTTCGAAATGCTAAAATTAATGGGTCATTCTATATTTTCATTCCATCGAGTCAACTATTACGAGATGTACACCCAACCTCGCCGAGCTGAGATATGACAGACAACTTTCCACTGTCCTCGAAATCCTCGCAACTCACAGACGGATGAAAAGTGTAATCTTCCAGTCGTAGGCCAGAACCTTCAACAAAGAAAGAAAGAAACATTGCCCACCATAAAATTCGAATTAAGGCCATTTTATGTTGGGCAATCGTTTTTTAATACGAAGGAAAAGAAAAATACTTTGTGCTTATCGTTTTCATCATAATACTTTATTTAAGTCACGCCAAAAACGACAGTGTTTATAGTGCCCTCTACCATTATGTTGGTGTAGCCTGTACAGGTTCTCTGAGAATGAAAACTGCAACACGCATCCGTCCGGCAAGAAACTTCTCACTGTAACACTTCCAATGATTTCTGAACGAATGACGTTTCCCTATAACGTTAAACATGATAAACATAGTTCAAAGTCGACAGAGAAAAAATGCACGAGTTTGATAGTTGCAATTTAAATCTAATAAAATACATCTTGATGATCTTGATATGATATTTCAATCTTATAAAGTGAACTTCAACTTTGATGAACCATTTTTCCTTACCTTCTCGTCAATTTGTACAAGCAGTTGTTCAACAATATCAGAAAATATTTCACCTTTCTTTGGTATCTAGAGATATAGTAGCAATAGTAACAGAAAAATTATCTAATGTTTGTAGATGTAGATTGTCCAGGTTAGTAGAGTCCTGAGAAGGACTGTTTTTGTTGTTGTTGGCTGACGTTTCGACAACCTTAACGGTAGTCATCTTCAGAGTCAAACGAGGAGTAAACGTCAGGTTTGTCATATATGTTATCTGGTTCTTATGTCATTGTAATGTGTGTACAGAAAATGTATGGGTGTCAATTGTGTATTGTGGCCATAGGTTAGTCTTAAGCGACATGTTTACTTTGTTTGAGGCTGTTAATAAGGCGTTTGTAAGGCTGTTAATAAGGTGCTGGTAATTGTGATCTATTCAGTGGGTTCTGTTCCAAGTAGGTATACCAACTTTCTAATGTAAGCTGCTGTTCTCTTTACTCAGTGCTGTAAAGTAATGGATTGTGCCGGCAGAGTCCCAGTGTAATGTTATGTTTTTTCCATCAGTGCTGTTTGCAGGGTGGTTGGTTTTGTGTGGTTCCTTTTTGTTCAGTAAGTCTTCAAGTTGAGTTTAGTATATTAGCATCTCCTTTTAAAGCTCATTCCTACCATAACCTGATCATGTTGTACAACTGATCTCTTCGAAGGATCCCCACTGATGTGTAATTTATCAATTCCAAACTAAAAGGAAGAGATTTTCCTGTCAACTGTAAAGGCTCAAACAAACGGTTTTCTTACTCATCCACAAACCAAATTCCCACTTGAAAACTGGGCTGCTTTATTGTAAGGTTCTATAATCTTCGGCTGAGTGTGAATAAATGGCTTTAGGGCTTGGGTGCTAGTTTCTTGGATGTAGCCATAGTTCTAAAAGTATCACAATGATCACATTTAACATAACATCATGAAGCACGTACAGACTTTATTTTCAAGCAAAATGCTATATTTATATTATAGCATCGGATGAAAACCTCACCAATACTTCATCTAATATTTCATAAATGAGAACAAAATTCTGCTGGATGGAGTTCTCATTTAGTGTTCCACAATAATCTTTGCATATGGCAGCAAATCTATACAAGGATGATGATGAAGAAAATTAAAATGGTTTAGAAATTAACAGACTTCACAAATCTTCATAATTTGAATTGCAACAAAGAAAATTTCTGACCACTGTCAGAATCTATTACCTTTGTAAGAACTCCAGAACAAAGTTAGGAGAAACTTGTTTTTTTGTGTTCAGTACAAAGTAAAGTCCAGCAGTGTGTATATAAATATAGTGGACGCCATTTATATTCTGCATAAAAAACAAGTTTACAAGTGTTCATCGAGAGAATTATTTTGGCACAAATATTTTGCATCGAAACAATGTGCTCTTGCTTTGAGCACTAGTTTTGCAATTTTCATTGAAGAAAGCATGAAAGTTTATATTTCCAAACACTCACAAAGCATGGTGGCTGACTGTCCCTGGTCGTCCTTATTCTATTGTAGAAGACCTCTGTACTGTTGCCCTCGACATCTCCCCGGTCTTTGATTCACAAGAATAGTTAAGTTTCATCATTAATAATATTCAGACTTAAAAAGCATACAAAGACAATGAAAAACACGGATGACGAACTTTCCAGCCGGTCGTAAGGATACACTTGCGAAAAATAAGCGAGTCTCCTCTTTCATTCAGAACAAAAACTTGAGAAAACATTCGCAATTTTGAAGAAATGCTTTCAAACTTCTTTTATATTAGACATTCTTCTTCTTCTTTGTGTTTCCACTTGACTGAATAAATCGCTACGACTAGAAAGGATCAATGGAAGGGATAGCAGTTTGAACAAAAAAGAGCTTGAACTAAGAGTTTGAACAAACACAAAACGAATGATATTACGATGTTTTACCAAATCAGACATACCGAGAAACATACAAAAAACTTTAAAAATTTCACATGTTGAATGTTAGGCAGGCTTGATGAAAAACGCAGATTTATTCAATTTTAAATTTCAACCATCTTCAGCGGAAGTGTTTAAATAACCTTTTGTGTATTGATAAATATTTCTGGTTTGCAGACGTGCACAATATCTTTTTTGTGAATATTTTTTGTTTCCAAGAACATTATATGCAATACCAAGAACCCTTTGCTACTTGTACACAAAGGAAACACATCATACTACGTCATAAAAATTGTTTAGGGGAATTCCCTAAAAACGGTAAATATTGACGACGTTTAATTAAAACGTTTATTTATCCAAAATAGAAAGAAAGGTCAATTGAAAGAAGACAATATGGTGAATAGCCGTCTACGCAAAGGCGACGGTCACGTCTGCGACTCGAGAAAAAACGGCTCGAGAAATACTATTATGGAGAGAGTTTCCCCTAAAAGTATGGAAATACGGACGAAGGACTTTCGAAAGAAAAGTGATGACAACTAAAAATACGGAATACGGTCTCAGAATTGTCATCGGTGACAATTACCCGGAGGAAATGCCACATTTACTCGTATTTTCCTCGCCAGATCCCATGCCAAAAACACAAGAGTGGCAAGGCACTCACTTAACTCATACATGGCCACAAATGTACGGTTTGTTTCAAATATGTTTTTACCATCCGACTTGTTGGGCTCATGATTATCGAAACGTCAGGCTGTATAATATTTTCGAGAAGGGAAAACAATGGCTCGAAGCTTATGAGGAATACTTGGAAACTGGGAAATATATATGCGACATTCTTCCAGAGATGGAGCTAACGGAAGATGAGAAACGAGATGAGGAACGCTTTCAACGACGCTGTCTTTTAGTGAAACGATGAAACACAGTTGGAATGAAACTATGTTTTGAACTCAGGAAATAGGACACTGAATTTATACGCTTGTTGGTAAAATAACTTAGTATTTATTACATTCTACGATATAAACGATCACGAACTACATACATTTAATATTTCATTATTGAATAAAATATTTTATACGAACATATATATGCATATATTATCTATGTTACATTATTAATAAGAGTATTGTGCTTGACTTACCATTTTCATATCGATATATTTATATGCTAAACCTGTTTATAGCACGCTCTTCAAAGGTGGACTATACGTTTTAACCTTGAATCGGACGAAAACTTTTAAAATGAAATATCAAAAGTTAAAATGAGCAGTTTTAAAATTTTGATCACAATGTGAATAGATACATTAACCTTGGATTTTCGGAACAAACAAGCTTTAGTAAACCGTAAAACATATGTTAAATCTCAAACCAGGATAAGAGTTAATAGTGCTTTGAAGAACCCAGGTTGCATAAAATTATCACATTAAAAAATGAGGTAAATTCACCTAGCATGTTGAATTGCTGGAACTAAAGTAAAATCCCATTCCAAATTCGATAGCCTATAGGTTCAATAATGTTGAATTTTAGTTTTTCATTTATAAAACTCCATGAAACGACAACGTCACAACCAGGGAAGGCACTTTTACATTTGGCGATGTCATTCATCAGTCTTTGAAGCTCGCTGTCTATGGAATACTCTGTTTCCGCTGCTTGAATCATTAGTCTTCCAGAAATGTTGACATTTCCTAGCTCAGAAGGCTGGACTTGGCCGAACGGCAGTAGAGGCAACAAAATATTTTGAGCTCTGATTAGCTCGACCCAATTTGCAAAAGATTCAAGAAAGAAATTCTTCATGCAAACTTGATGAACATGCATTTCTTTTGCTTTTTCTTCCTCAGTAAGTTCCATTTGTTCCAACTCTAAGGGCAGTTTTTTCGTTAGACGATATTTCTCGTATGCTTCAAGCCATTCTTTGCCTTTCAAAAAAACCTAGACAAAAATGTTGCCAGAAATAGATCATTTATTTATATACTGTACATTTTTCTACATGGCGTTAAGGCTGATATCCATTCAGTGCAAATTGTCGCGCGATCGACTTTTTGCGATCACTTTCTCTTGAATTGTGTGCAGCAATGTGAAACTGTTCCGGTCGAGAGCTTACAATTAAAAAGAAAGTGATCTCAAACAGCCGCGCGCGACAATATGTTCTGAACGGAAATCGACCTATAGAGAAAAATTCTGGAATCTAACAACCACAAAATGATCTTCCATTATTCATAAATGGACTTCGCACGGTAAGAAAGCAAATTAATTACCTGACAAATTGTGTTCTCTTCTTTCCAAGCAGCCCAATGCCAATGACAAATCTGCAGCAAGCCATAGTTTTGCCAGCCCCAAGTATGAGTGCTGTGCCTGCCACCTATCCATTCGGAAGGCATTGGCTCTGGCGATTCACAAACAACCAAGTCGGGTAGCCATTTAGGATAACCATCGCTTACATAAACGCGAAGTTTATACGATCTGCCATTTTTAAACTTTACAGTGTGTTCAAAACAAGGTTTACCATTGTGCGTCGAGATTGGATATTTATTTGGATAAAAATATCCTTCGAGTAGTCGTTGTTCTTCTTCTAAACGATCTTGTAAGTTTACTGGTTTGTAGGCTACGATTTCTTGGCTCATTGTTTACACGACCGTTTTCAAATTTCAAATTTAAAACGAAATCGGCGTATCGTATGATGCCGGTCAGATAAATTCAATTTTCTTTATACAAACATATAAAATTTTGAATGTCGACACACAAATAAAGAAAAATGATGTCGCATCAGCAAATTTTATGCAAAACAACTGCGCATGGGTCATTCCCATCAAATAATGCAAACTATGACATAATAGATTAACGAGGGAATTCCCTAGTTCTGAGAAATCGCCCATTAAGCAGTTTCAATTGGACATTTCTTTCGATGTGAAACACATACTTCTAGATAAATTTGAAAATAAACTTGCATGGTTCACTATGTTTTGGACAGCACGTCAACATCGTCGAATTTTGGACGAAAAAGAGATCTTAAGCATATATTTCCCTGGAAGAGTAACGTGGTTGGATGGCCTGACGAAAGTCGACGTTAAAATGACTACAAATGATAACAACGATTACAAATTACGTGTTTATTTACCGGAGGATTATCCTAACAGTGTCCCTGATTTAGTGATTACAGAATCCACCATGCCATTGCCGAGTTGGGAAAACAATGGCCTGACACATACTTTAAAACGTCGCGATGGCTGCCTTACAATATGTCACTACAGAGCTTCGTGCTGGAATCCACAAGAACAGAATCTTTACGATGTCTTCATGAAAGGACGCCTATGGCTAGAAGCTTTCGAAGCTCACCTACGAACATCTCTACCTATGGGTGAATTCTTGAAGGAAATGGAGATAGTGTAGAGATGAAAAGTACGAACACAATACGAAGGCCATTGACAGCTGTGATCAATATAAATTCGACTGAGCACTTGCAATAATGGTTGACTAGGTCGAAATATGTGCACAAATCTAGAGTAGATTTTCTCCTTTTGAAACTAAGTTGCACCTGTATTGCTGTTGCAAGACATATATGTATCTTTGTAAGATGTTTATCCATGCATGTATATAATGTTTACTTCCATTGTAAATGCCAATACATACGATAGCGCATGTGTGAATTTATAATAAGTTAAAACATTTGAAAAGTTGTGATCAGTTTTTGCCATGAATGTCCACAATAAGAAGGTCATTGAGAGCTGAGACCAATATACACTCGACTGACAAGTTATAGCAATGTTGACATACATGTGCACCAATCTGGAGTAGATTTTCACCTGTGGAAACTATCAAATCTTGCAACAGAAATGTTGCTGCATGGCAGAAAATATATCTTTCTAATATGTTTATCTATGTGATATGTATAACATTTATAGTTCAGTGTCTATGTGGGTACATACGAAAGCGTGTGTGCATGTAATATAGCTTGAAACATTTAATAAGTTTTGCCAGGAATGTCGACCCCACCAGGGCCAAGACCGTAGCTCAGAACGCTAGTTGAGGGGGAGAGGGGTGTACAGCCATATATTTATTTTTTTCAACTGATTTCTTTAGAAAGCCATTTAAAAGAAATCAGTCGGACACAACTTAATACATGAATACTCCACCCCACCTCCCGATGAACGTTGTCGCGCAGGCCTGGACCCTACTCTATCATCATTTAAAACAATTATACCCGAATTCTACTCACTCACACTAGCACTGAACGCTAACAGCAAAATAAACACGAAGATTCAGTTGGAGATTCACACTAGGGTAGCTTCTACATTGTACCAGTCAAGGCCAATTTTCTCTGAATTGCAGTTTTGTCGTCTGTTAGCTTCACACGGTTGCTTAGTAACAACGTAGTCATTGCTCTCAAAAGAACCTACGAAATGAACGACAGAGATTTGAGCAAGTCTCTTCATGCTTGAATTTGGATATCCTGTGGCGGTTGCATGTGTTCCAGAGTTGAAATCCTGTTTAATTTCCTCCATCTTGTTTTCACTCATCTTCCACGTGTCTTCTGATCGACGGTTAGCAAAACATTTGTCTTTTCTGTTAGTTTCAATCACATGAGCATTGTTTCCATCCTTTGCAATATTTTCGCCATAACCTTTAAAATTGCTTTCACTTCCAGCGTAATACACAGTAGGGGAGGGCTGGGGTTCCTCTGTTCTGTTACTCCTGTCCAATTTACCCTCATCTCCCTCCCTTCTTGGTTTACCAATAAATATACGTTCTTTAGAGCTGCGTGAGGCTCCTTTATCATAATTTGATTGTGAACTTAAAAAATTGCTATGACCACCAGCGTAGTGCACCATAACGAATGACTGAGGCTCCTCTGTTTTTAATTTTTCCTTGCTCCTGGCTAACCCACTCTCCTCATCTCTCTCCTTTCTTGATTTACTGGTAAGTTTACGTACGTTAGAGCTACTTGAGACTCTTTCATCATAATTTGATAGTGAACTTGTAGTGTCTTTGTGATAAAACCTGAAAAAGATTTACCTTCGGTGGATGGTGTTTTCATGTTTATTGGTTCTTCTTCGACATAAGGAATGACAGAAGATACGGGGTTGATTCTTTTTTCTAATTGTGTATTATTCTTGGTATGTGTTTTTTTCTGATTCATTAAATCAACAGTTCTCGATGTTGTGCTCTGTTCTCTTGGGTAAGATCTTAAACTATTGTTTCCACTGTCGGTATGGTGAATAACCTCTTGATCTGATGCATTATTACCACGTTGAAAGTGTTTCATTTCCTTCTCAAACCATTGAAACTCATTAAAACTCTCAGCTCCTTTGTAAGCATTTCTTAAAATTACCTCATTCAAACGAAATGGACTGTTTCCTGGGACATAAATAAACTCTCCTTTTATTACAGGCCTTTGTCGATCAAGATGAAACAAGAAACAGTTTACTTCGACTTTATTCGTAATGTTTGCAATGAAAACAATATATCTTTGCAATCCCAAGTTAGGCATGTTATTCCAGACTGTATTTTCGTCCCCTTGACTAGGTTTAAACAATCTTATCTTGTGGTGAGAATGCCATTGACCAACGTTACAAAGACCGTGGTTTTTAGTTAAATATGTACCTGCTTTATCAAGATAGTCAACATCCTGTATTTAAAAATGGCAATAAAATTGAACTATAATATTGTTCTTATCTCAATTCAGCTTAAAAATTTGATTCTTTTCACAATTGATTTTTGTCTTTTTCAAGAGTACACTTTGTACCCTTCATAATTATAATTTCAGAGATATTGAGAAAAAGCACAAATAGTAAATAGCTATCATTTCAACTATAAAGAAGTAGCTATTGTTATATGCCATAAGTCATCCTTTTTTAAACAGAAGTTGGCCGATTAAGAACAAAATTTTTTACATAGTAACCGCATATCCAATAAGTATTGATCAAGTATATACGTTGTAAAAATATTTTATACCTGATAAAACGATGTTTCGTCTCTCCTACTTTTCTTTCCAGGACCGACAACAAATTGAATGACTGCTGTCGTTTCGTTCAACCATAACCCAAACAAATCACCGCCAGTTTCGATATCTTCATATTTCATAACCCATTCGTTGATCTGATATCGTTCTCCCTCGTTTATATAAACCGTGAAACTCATGACGAACAAAGGAAGTATTTTTTTTATCTTGTAGCTCAAGATGATCTACAATAAAAATTTGTTTCGAATTAAAACACTTTGTTTCGTTTTCATTAGTTGAGAATTGAGAAGTGACAGTGATTTTTCGCAGGTAAAGCTTGATAGAGATAAAATCGGCTATTTCATTAAACTCTGACAGTTTCACTATCTTTCTTTGACCACTATCGTTTATTACAATCTACACGAAAGCGAAACAAACAAAAACCAATATATACTTTGGTGGCTTATACAAGGAAGCTTCAATGTAATATGTAAAGTTTAACGTTGTTTTCCAGGAAGAAAGACAAAAAAATGAAATTAAAAGACAGAAAGAATTAACATAAATATTTATTGATGAATATTAAATAGGCATTGGGTTAAATCTCAGTCAACGATGAGAATCAGTTTTTGGAACAACCGACTCCATACTATAAAAGGAACAAAACAAAAGCTAATTTATTGAATTGCCATCATGAACCACAAATATATCGGATCGTAAAACTAAACAGCGTATGCTTGATAATATTAAATTTCAGCCTTCCTTTCGTAGTAGGTAATTTTACATTTCAACGAATTAAATCATTTAATAGTTTACAAAATTTCGATGTCTATTGGAACACTCTATTTATACTGCTTGCATCATTTGTGTTTTAGAATTGCTGCCGCTTTCACGTTCAAAGCAAAATGCACGATTCATTGGCTGCAACAGAACTATTTGAGCTGTGACTCAATACAATATTGCCAATATAATGCTGAAACTCCGTCGCAGTTTCTTCTTTAGTAAGTTCCATTTGTTCCAATTCTAAGGGCAGTTCCTTCGTTTCACGATATTTCTCATAAGCTTCAAGCCATTCTTCGCCTTTCTGAATAACCTAGCATCAAAGAGCAACAAGTATTTTATCGCCATTTAATATTTAGAACACAGCGAGAACAGCTATATGAAACGAAACAAGCATAAAACGACACATTTTTGTAATTCCTCAATAATATAATTTAAATAGGTAGCAATAAAATTAAATACTTGGAAAATTCTGTTCTCTTCTTTCCAAGCAGCCCAGTGCCAATGACAAATCTGTAGCAAGCCATATTTTTGCCAGCCCCAAGTATGAGTTTCATGCCTGGGACCCGTCCATTCGGAAGGCATTGGCTCAGGCGATTCACAAACAACCAAGTCAGGTAAACGTTTGGGAAAATCATCGCTCAAATAAACTCGAAGCTTATACAATCTGCCATTTTTAACCTTGGCAGTGTGTTCAAAACACGATTTTTCATCACACGTCAATATTGGATACTTATTTGGAGAAAAATATCCTTCGAGTAGTCGTTGTTCTTCCTTTAAACGATCTTGTAAGTTTACTGTTTTAAAGGCTGCGATCTCTTGTCCTTCGCTCATTATTTAGACCGCAGTCAAATTTCAAATCGAACACCAAATAACCGTATTGTAGCTATGATGAAGATCAGATAAATTCGATTTGTTTAACCTTTAAAGACATGTATGTTGAGTGCACAAGAAATTCGATTCGTACAACCGAAAAGTGAAAAAAATAATCCGGAAATTTTAAATAAAACAACGCAATAATGCACCAGGGACTTTCCCGTTAAACAGTGCAAAGAATGACATGTTAACAAGGGAAATACCCTTGTTCTAAAATATTACACATTGACGTTTATTAAACAACAATAAATAGTTTGAGATATATTTGACTATATATGGCGTGTATAACACTATGTTTTGTATATAGCACAGTCTATATTTGTTGACAGCACGTCAACATCATCGAATTCAGTTATAGCAATGGTTAACTAGGTTGAAATATGTGCACAAATCTGGAGAAGATTTTCTCCTTTTCAAACTATGTTGCACCTGTATTGCTGTTGCGTGACAGTTTATATATATTTCTAATACGTTTATCCATGCATGTGATATATAAATATAACGTTTATTTTCATTGTATATGTGAATACATACGATAGCGTGTGTGTCAATATGTAATAAGTTTAAACATTTGAAAAGTTGTGCTGAGTTTTTGCCTAGAATGTCGACCCTACCAGGGCCGTCCCGCTGGAGCGCTAGTTGAGTGGGGTGTATATTCATATATTCCTTGTGCCCAACTGATTTCTTCAGAAATCCAATTCACGTTTAAAAGAAATCATTAGGAGAACAGATTTAAAAGAAATCGTTACAGATGAATAGATGAATATCTAACGACCCCCAACCCCAATCATCGCTAAAGCGTCTGTTCCGGACCCTGCTCGACCATTAATTAAAACACTTAAGGTTGATTTCCATTCAGTGTAAATTGCCGCGCGATCGACTTTTTGCGATCACTTTCTTTTGAATTTTGTGCAGCATTGTGAAACTGTTACGACTGGGATCTTACAATAGTGATCTAAAATAGTCGCTCGCGCGACAATTTGCTCTGAATGGAAATCGGCCTTTATACCCGCATTCTAAAAGCTCGCACACACTCATTGAGTGCGTCATAAAAATCACGCTGTCTAAAAGGCAAGATCATATCTTCATTGATGGCAAGATTTTCTCAAAAATGTCTCAAATCTAGCAAGCAATGGAGTGAAAATGCCGTCTTCGAATAATTATGAGGCGATTTTCAAGCCCCATTTAGTGAATGAAAGTGAGCTTTCAGAATACAGACGTTAGCAGTGAGGCCATACATGCAAAATTTTACCTGATTTGGTCTGATGAGCTTAAACTCTCCCACCTGCTTTATGTGGTTGCAAAAAAAAAAAAAAATTAAAAATTCAGAGCGAAGAGGTTGTATAGCTCATTCGACCAAAATTGCCATGATGTATGGTCACAGTGGACATTAGTGTTTATTGCAACAGTGTCTGTCTATATGAATTACAACATAGAAATACACACAAACAACATTTAGTTGCAGTGTTATCCTGAGGCAGATTATTCATTGTACTAGTTAGTGTGTGAGGACGAGTTGAGACATGGCCAATTTTCTTTAAATTGCTGGGATTTGTTAAATCAAAATGCAACGTTTTCCTGCTGAATGACTTTTCTTGTTTTTTCTATCAGTTTTAATCACATGAGCATTGTTTCCATCCTTTCCAATATTTTTGTCATAACCTTTAAAATTGCTTTCACTACCAGGGTGATACACAGTAGCGGATGTCTGGAGTTCCTCTGTTCTGTTACTCCTGTCCAATTTACTCTCCTCATCTCTCTCCCTTCTTGGTTTACCAATAAATATACGTGCTTTAGAGCTGCGTGAGGCTCTTTCATCATAATTTGATTGTGAACTTGTAGTGTCTTTATGATAAAAACTTGAAAGAGATTTACCTTCGGTGGATGGTGTTTCCATGTTTATTGGTTCTGTTTGGGTTGCTTTGACAGAAGATACGGAGTTGATTCTTTTTTCTAATTGTGTCTTATTCTTGGTATGTGTTTTTTCCCGATTCATTAAATCAACAGTTCTCGATGTTGTGCTCTGTTCTCTTGGGTAAGATCTTAAATTATTGTTTCCATTGTCGGTTTGGTGAATAACCTCTTGATCTGATGCATTATTGCCACGTTGAAAGTATTTCATTTCATTCTCAAACCATTGAATTTCATTAATACTCTCAGCTTCTTTGTAAGCATTTCTTAAAATTACTTCATTCAAACGAAATGGACTGTTTCCTGGGACATAAACAAACTTTCCTTTTATTACAGGCCTTCGTCGATCAAGATGAAACAAGAAACAGTTTACTTTGACTTTATTTGTAATGTTTGCAATGAAAACAATATATCTTTGCAATCCCAAGTTAGGCATGTTATTCCAGACTGTATTTTCGTCACCGTGACTAGGTTTAAACAATCCTATCTTGTGGTGAGAATGCCATTGACCGACGTTACAAAGACCGTGGTTTTTAGTTAAATATGTACCTGCTTTATCAAGATAGTCAACATCCTGTAATAGAAAATGGCAGTAAAAATGAACTATAATATTGTTCTTATCTCAGTTCAGTTTAAGCATTTTGTTTTATGGTTTTACAATGACGCTTATTGCGGCTTAAAAATTACTGAGGTAAACGAGAGCGATTCGTTTAACTATTTTTACTATCTCTTCGACAACTTTATAAAAAGGCTGTTAGCCGATAAAACTTGTACAATTTTTGCTACTTTTTTTTTACAAGACAGAAACAAAGTAACAAGAGGACAAAATAGTGGACAATTATATTATTTTAAATACACAGAAGCATGGCATTATTCTCCGCATATGTTTCTAAAATATATATACTATTAACGTACTATTGAAATTTCAAATAATTAGGTCAAACTAAAATATTTGTTGCATTAAGCTTTTGTAAATTTATATATACAGAGGCACTTATTCGAAACATTTTTTTTGGTGAACATAGCTATGTGATTTTCAAATGAGCACTGAGCATTTATCAATTATACGTTGTAAAAACATTTTATACCTGATAAAACGATGTTTCGCCTCTCCTACATTTCTTCCCAGGACCGACAACAAATTGAATGACTGCTGTCGTTTCGTTCAACCATAACCCAAACAGATCACCGCCAGTTTCGATATTTTCATAATTCATAACCCATTCGTTGATCTGATATCGTTCTCCCTCGTTTATATAAACCGTGAAACTCATGACGAACAAAGGAAGTATTTTTTATCTTTTAGCTCAAGATGATCAACAATAAAAAGTTGCTTTGAATTAAAACATTTTGTTTCGATATCGTTTTAAAAGTGAAAATGGTCTTCCACAAATGAAGCGAGTTCTGAGTATTTTAACAAATGAAAGAACAGTTTCATTATCTCTCTTTGATTACCATTATTGCAATTTTGTACAAAGACAAAACGAACAGAGACGCACTAGTGCAGTAAACGACTATAATTACATTGTACTTTTCCAAGAAGAGAGGCAACGAAAAATGAAAGTAAAAGAAACGAAAAAATTAATACATATCGTTGCATTTGAATGATCATGTTGTATAAACTTTCCATGTGATACTGTAAATTTGCTAAAAAGTCACTGCCTGCGCTGGTTTATGTCTGTTCCTTTTGTCTTTGTACAAACTTGCAATAATGGTAATCAAAGAGAGATAATGGAACTGTTCTTTCATTTGTTAAAATACTCAGAACTCGCTTCATTCGTGGAAGACCATTTTCACTTTTAAAACGATATCGAAACAAAGTGTTTTAATTCAAAGCAACTTTTTATTGTTGATCATCTTGAGCTAAAAGATAAAAAATACTTCCTTTGTTCGTCATGAGTTTCACGGTTTATATAAACGAGGGAGAACGATATCAGATCAACGAATGGGTTATGAAATATGAAAATATCGAAACTGGCGGTGATCTGTTTGGGTTATGGTTGAACGAAACGACAGCAGTCATTCAATTTGTTGTCGGTCCTGGGAAGGAATGTAGAAGAGGCGAAACATCGTTTTATCAGGTATAAAATATTTTTATAACGTATACTTGATAAATGCTCAGTGCACATTTGAAAATCACATAGCTATGTTCACCGAAAAAAATAAGTGCCTCTGTAAGTATATAAATTTACAAAAGCTTAATGCAACAAATATTTTACTTTGACCTAATTATTTGAAATTTCAATAGTACGTTAATAGTATATATATTTTAGAAACATATGCCGAGAATAATGGCATGATTCTGTGTATTTAAAATAATATAATTGTCCACTATTTTATCCTCTTGTTACTTTGTTTCTGTCTTGTAAAAAAAGAAAAGTAGCAAATGTTGTACAAGTTTTATCGGCTAACAGCCTTTTTATAAAGTTGTCAAAGAGATAGTAAAAAAAATAGTTAAACGAATCGCTCTCGTTTACCTCAGTAAATTTTAAACTGCAATAAGCGTCATTGTAAAACGATAAATAAAATGTTTAAACTGAACTGAGATAAGAACAATATTATAGTTCATTTTTACTGCCATTTTTAATACAGGATGTTGACTATCTTGATGAAGCAGGTACATATTTAACTAAAAACCACGGTCTTTGTAACGTCGGTCAATGGCAGTCTCACCACAAGATAAGATTGTTTAAACCTAGTAACGGTGAGGAAAATACAGTCTGGAATAACATGCCTAACTTGGGATTGCAAAGATATATTGTTTTCATTGCAAACATTACGAATAAAGTCGAAGTAAACTGTTTCTTGTTTCATCTTGATCGACGAAGGCCTGTAATAAAAGGAAAGTTTGTTTATGTCCCAGGAAACAGTCCATTTCGTTTGAATGAGGTAATTTTAAGAAATGCTTACAAAGAAGCTGAGAGTTTTAATGAAATTCATATGTTTGAGAATGAAATGAAACACTTTCGACGTGGCAATAATGCATCAGATCAAGAGGTTATTCACCAAACCGACAATGGAAACAATAATTTAAGATCTTACCCAAGAGAACAGAGCACAACATCGGGAACTGTTGATTTAATGAATCAGAAAAAAACACATACCAAGAATAATACACAATTAGAAAAAAGAATCAACCCCGTATCTTCTGTCATTCCTTATGTCGAAGATAAACAATAAACATGAAAACACCATCCACCGAAGGTAA